CTGACCGGGTCTCTACCCTCATAACCCAACCTGTATCACTGTTTTCTGGTGCGGGCATCTCTCTCATATATAAGAATAAATAAATAATGGCCATTTACTGGCCATTTTCTCCTTTTTCTTAAGATTTTAAAGTGTGCATATGTGCACACACAGAAACAAAGACAGGGCAAAATAAGTCAGGTTTTTTTTTTTTTTTTTTTTAATTTTGATAAAAGCTAAACACTGCCCCCTGTTGATGATTTAGAGTTTTCATTACATGCTGCCACCAGGGTTTCAATATTTACATATCAAAATAGAAATGACTTCTAAACCGTTCTAAAAACGTTCTAAACCTTAAAGGCCGATACCTTTTAAATACATTTTCCCATTTTATCAATTTGGTTTTAATTCATTTTGTTGAATATTGTCATTTTGTAGCCTACAATTTAATGATTAATGATTAATTAAATGGCTTGCAACCATATGCTGTCACTAGAATTGTTTTAATAACCCATTAAATATGAAATGATACGTTATCATTTAAAACATGTCTTTATCTATAGAACATAGGCATAAAGGGTTCTTTAAAATTTTATTCTATATTTAACCGTTTGTTTTTTTTTATAAGAGTGCTGCGTATTCTATATGTCTGCATATTCTTTGGTGTCATATTCCAGTGCAGTCTCATCCCAAGACGTCATGTAACTGACGTCTTGGGACGTCTTTTGACCATACGTCAACATCCGCCTTTTAAGGGTACCCTTAAACGTCTGTTAGATGACGTTATCGGATCCTAACCCTACCCCAGACCTAAACCTACCCCTAAACCTACCCGGCCCGGGATCGTCAACTAACCGACGTTTAAGGGCACCCTAAAAAGGCAGATGTTGACGTATGGTCAAAAGACGTCCCAAGACGTCAGTTGTTGTATGACGACTTGGGATGAGACTGTGTTACATATTCCACCAGTTCAGCAAACAACAAAGATAGATATTGAAATAGTCTATGTTTGAATTTGGACTAGCATACTATTTGGCAAAAATAGTAAACTGTATGCTTATCCTAATTACACCTACCTGCTTTATAATGCCAATTGAGTTAATTTATTAATCCCAAAAAAGAGCAACAGTGCGGACAGAAAGCTTCTTTCTTGCATTTATCAGACTCTACAAATATAAATAGAACCTTATAAATAGTGCAAAGTTTGGTGTTACCACAAATGTGAGGTATTGAAAACTAAAGACAGTTTCTATTTTTTTTTTTTTTACAGGGTGTCGATCTGTTAATCAATTCTTAGAGAGAGAGAGACAGAAAATTCCAGCAGGAGCTCTCACCTCGCCATGGAGACAGGCGTGTGCTCATGGGGTCAGAGAGGAGGACGGAGATGAGCCAGGTCTTCTCAGTGTCACATGACATCCGTGGTCCGTCGAAAATGTGCCCAGGTCATATAATGCAAGTTAATATGATTCTTTAGGGTCTAAATAAAAACTTTGTAATATAGGCTACTTTAATTAAATATTCTCATTAGTTTTGTAAGAAAACACTCATTTTACCTGGTTAAAAACAGCTCTGTTTTCAGCACGCCATTTAAGTACATGTTCTTTAAATGATAATGAGCCTCGCTCACCCCGCCCCTCTGTTCTGCGGGCGTTTTGACACAACTCACGTGAAGTGTTGCCTTGACAACAGTAGAGGGTATATTTTGGAGAAAGAATGTCAGCGGGAGTCTCTGAGGACACATCTGTGCAACCATATCAGTTTGAAGCGGAGTCAGACTAGAACAAGATGACGGCCCCGAAGAAGTTCGACAATTAAGGCTTGAACAGGGCGTTTCTGAATGGTTGTTCGTGTTGAAACGCTGCTGTCAATCAACAATCGTGGGACATCACACACTCAGACGACTCGATTTGAGACGGGAAAACATTTAAGGATGGATAAAAAACACTGGATGGATTTTATCAATATATGATGGTTGTGTACAGGCACTACCAACACACATTTCAGTACAATCAAGTTGGAAAAAGTGCATGTACCGTTATGTGACCCCTTTAAAGCATAGGAAACAGATTTTTTTTTGACACAGTAAAAAAGAGGAGATGGCCTGTTATTCAGTTCCTGTCCTATACATTTTTATTCAATGTTACTTAGGTTGGTTTCAAGGGTAACCGGGTTAGCTGTCACACGCACACACACACACACGCGTTGTGTTTCCATGTCTTATGGGGACTTTTTTTTACTGAATAAGCGGTATATTCTATCCCCTAACACTACCCCTTAGACCCAACCCATAGAAAACTTTCTGCATTTTTACGTTTTTCAAAAAACATCACTTATGATTTATATGATTTCAGGTAGCTTACAATGATGCTCTGAGAATTCTGTTGAGAAGACCACGCTGGTGTAGCGCCTGCAAGATGTTTGTGGCGGCAGGTGTTAATACTCTGCAAGCCACATTGAGAAATGTCATGTACAAATTTATATGTCGGTTGAATAACTCTGAGAATTGTATAATTGTGGCATTGACCAATATCAAATTTAGCACCACACCGTACGGTATATGTCCAAGTTATGGAAGCATTGGTATAGTTGTCCCCTTTGAAGTTGTTATTTTTGTTTTTTTTATATTGAGTGTACTGTCTTATTTGTCTGTCTTTTTATCTGGACCGGTGAGTCTGTAATAAAGTTTATTATTATAAGCTAATTTCCACGGGGACCGGAAAATAGCTTAGCCTATAATTGAATAATCGAATATTGCCATCTTTGTGGGGACATTCTGTCCTCATGGGGTTTACCAGGACCACACTCTAAGTTTAAGTTTTGGCCACAAACAGTGTTTTATTATTAATAGTTTAATGTTATTTCAGAACTCTCAGTTTTTCTAAAAAGGCCTGACAAGCAAGTAATACAAGAGAGCCAGCTCATACTGTTTACCTTTCATTAGAAAAGGTGATGATATGGATTTGTAGACTAGGTGTCTAAAATTACAGCATGTACGAGACTACTTTTTATGACTGTCCTTCTAGAATCTCTTTTATTATTTTATCCTAAAGGAATCCAAACTATTTAGAACATTTAATGTTTATGTAGTGTATTTGCAGTGCTGTTCAGAGACAGGCAACGTTATATCTGTCACGTTACATATATGTACATCCAAATGGTTTCCTAGTGACTGACCTGACAAGATACACATTGGATTGAATTAATGAGACAAGATTTCCTTGTTGTCCACTATGTACATTAGGCGTATACACACTACTGTTCAAACGTTCTTTTTTTAACATTGATAAGAAATGTTTCTTGAGCACATAATCAGTAGGCGTAATGATTTATGAAGAATCAACTTTGCCATCACGTGAATCAAATTTTAAAATATACTAAAATAGAAAATAAAATTACACAAAACGGCATTATAATATAATGCCTTGGTGAGCACAGGAGACTTCTTTCAAAAATATAAACATATCTTAATGACCCCAAGCTTATACAAATGTAAATTATTTTGTTCACCATAAACTAACTTAAGGGGTCATATAACGGTACATGCACTTTTTCAAATTGATTGTACTGAAATTTCACGAGTTCACACTTACATATAATTTGAGTGAGTAAGATTCAATGCGTATTTGGCGTGCTGTCCGGAGGGAGGGCTCCGAGCTCGGAATTCAGCCCGAACCCAGAGTACTCCCCCCGTATGTAAGTGATTTTTAGAAAGAGGAGTGTGGAGAACTAGGAGTGTGGAGAAGGGGTGGAGGAGGGATGCTGCAAACTGTTAATGGATCGAGGTAAGACTGCTGAGTCTATTTGTACCCTCTTATCATTGATTGCTGATTGCTGTCCACTCGTGTCAATTATCTGAACGTGCTCCTCCCGAACTTAGTTAATAAAACTTCATTTCACGAGTTCACACTTACATATAATTTGAGTGAGTAAGATTCAATGCGTATTTGGCGTGCTGTCCGGAGGGAGGGCTCCGAGCTCGGAATTCAGCCCGAACCCAGAGTACTCCCCCCAATAGGCAAGAAGCAGAGGACAGCCGCCGGACTAAAGACCCCCCGATGAGTGCCGAGATTGGCGGGCTGGCGTCTTGAGAAAGGGCCTGGATGCTTGATCGGGGAGGCCCGTGCTGGTGGCTCACAGCCTGGACTGCCCTCTGAAATGAAAAGGGAAAACGTGAGTGCTCTACCGGGATTTCAACTGCATCCGCTGTGAGACCAAATGCTCGCTGGATGAAGAGAGAAAATGTAATGCTCTACTGGGAAAGTTCTCACTCCGTCCGCTGAGAGACCAATGCTCGCTGGACGGAAAGAAGAAACTGAGGAGAGGAAAATGAGTGCTTTCCTAGGAGATTTTCTCAAACTGCATCCGCTGTGAGACCAAATGCTCGCTGGATGAAGAGAGAAAATGTAATGCTCTACTGGGAAAGTTCTCACTCCGTCCGCTGAGAGACCAATGCTCGCTGGACGGAAAGAAGAAACTGAGGAGAGGAAAATGAGTGCTTTCCCAGGAGATTTTCTCAAACTGCATCCGCTGTGAGACCAAATGCTCGCTGGATGAAAAGAGAAAATGTAAGTGCTCTACTGGGAAAGCTCTCACTCCGTCCGCTGTGAGACCAATGCTCGCTGGATGAAGAGAGAAAATGTAATGCTCTACTGGGAAAGTTCTCACTCCGTCCGCTGAGAGACCAATGCTCGCTGGACGGAAAGAAGAAACTGAGGAGAGGAAAATGAGTGCTTTCCTAGGAGATTTTCTCAAACTGCATCCGCTGTGAGACCAAATGCTCGCTGGATGAAGAGAGAAAATGTAATGCTCTACTGGGAAAGTTCTCACTCCGTCCGCTGAGAGACCAATGCTCGCTGGACGGAAAGAAGAAACTGAGGAGAGGAAAATGAGTGCTTTCCCAGGAGATTTTCTCAAACTGCATCCGCTGTGAGACCAAATGCTCGCTGGATGAAAAGAGAAAATGTAATGCTCTACTGGGAAAGCTCTCACTCCGTCCGCTGTGAGACCAATGCTCGCTGGACGGAAAGAGGAAACTGAAAAGAGGGAAGAATGAGTGCTTGCCCAGGAGATTTTCTCACACTGCATCCGCTGTGAGGCCAGATGCTCGCTGGATGGAAGAGAAAATGTAAGTACTCTACTGGGAAAGCTCTCACTCCGTCCGCTGTGAGACCAATGCTCGCTGGACGAAAAGAGGAAACTGAAGAAAGGAAAAATGAGTGTTTGCCCAGGAGATTTTCTCAAACTGCATCCGCTGTGAGGCCAGATGCTCGCTGGATGGAAGAGAAAACGTAAGTGCTCTACTGGGAAAGCTCTCGCTCCGTTCGTTGTGAGACCAATGCTTTTCTCCTTACCCGATGAGGGTTTGGTGGGCTTTTTTAATGTGGAACCGATTGGTCCTGATGTAACTTTGGAAAGCATCAGAGGACCATCTCCCAAGGGCTTGGATCTGCTGTTGGGAGAGTCCTTTTTGGGCTGCTGAAGTTGCTGCCCCGATGCGAAATGAGTGGCTAGAAAAATTCTTTGCTGGAATGCCTGACTGTTGGAGAACAGATTTAAGGTGTTTCTGGAACCAAAAACGTGTCACGGGTTTTTTGGATTCGTCTAAAAACAGGGGTTCCAAAGGAGATTTAGCCTGAGGACTTCTCCATTGCAGATATGCCAGAATTGACTGGTATGGTTGGATTTGCGAAGCGAGGTTGAAAATGTAAATGAAATGGCCTTTTTTGGTTTGGTCAGTCTTACTTTGTTTAATCAAGTATGAAATGGTTTCGCCATCAATTACTGATAAGTCTGAGATGGTGGGGTGGATTTTTGGGTCGAATTTAGAAGTGATGGCGATTTCTGAACATCTGAGAAAACCAAAAAAGGCTAGGATAAACATGGCATCGAGTGTGCGAGCGGAACTAAGGGGCTGGTAACCTGAACGGAGAACCTGAATACATTTGGTGAGAATGTCCAGCGTTATGGGTTGTCTGGCGTCGGGGCGGGTGGGCTGGGATCGTTGAATCCCTTTAATCAGGAGAGAGGTTTGTGAATTGTTTATCTCCACGGAAGGACCGCCATACATCAGTTTATGGAAAAACTGGATGCCGCTCAAATAACCTTTAATGGACCCGACTTGTAGGCCTTTAATGCTATTAAGGTAGGAGATAAAAGAGGTGATTGAAAGAAGAGAAAAATCAGGGAAAGATAAGTTATAAGAGACATGAAATGTTTTAAAACATCTCCAAGCAGTGACGTAGGATTGAAGGGTCCTGGGAGATACTGCTTGGAGGATACCGTCAAGTGATGCTTCGAGCAGTGGTTTTAACGGGTGGGTTACGGGAATATTAGCTCTGAATAGCGAGGAACTGGAGTTGGGAATTGATCCGCCTCTGGAGCCAGCGTCCTGAATTTCTGGAATAGAAAACGAGACAGGGAGTCAGCGATTTGGTTTTTTGACCCAGGGATGTGTTTAGCAATGATAATGAATTGATCGCAAGCTGAGATCCAGGTGAGACGAGTGGCATCAGAGCGGGTGAATGGGAACGGCCTTTGTTAATGCAATGTACTGTTGCTTCATTGTCACAATGCACTAAAACGCTGCTAGCGGCCCATTCTTTCCCCCACAGAAAAGCTGCTACTACGAGAGGGTAAAGCTCGAATAAAGCTGAGGATTGGGTTATGTCCTGAAGCTGCGGGGGCCATGGAGCCGCGAACCAACGACCTTGATAAAATCCCCCGAACCCGATTGAGGGTGCGGCATCTGTGAACAATTGGATGTCAATGGGGGATGAAACGAGGTTGTTGTAGAAAAAGGAAAGGCCGTTCCATTGTTTTAGAAATGTTAACCAAAGCCTGAGTTCGTCGCGACATGCTTGAGTTAGAGAGATGCGGTCTTCTAATGAATGGACAGAGGACGCGAGTGAGAGGAGATGCGAGATGAAGGGGCGGCCTTGCGGGATGATGCGTATTGCGAAGTTTAAATGACCGAGCAGGGACAGGAGTTCGCGTTTTGAAAAATTGGATTTTTCAAGGAAAGTAGAGGAGACAAGGATTATTCGGTCGATTTTTTCTTTGGGGAGGGATGCTTGAAATTTGTCCGAATCCAAATTAATTCCTAGGAACTCGATGGACGTTGCAGGGCCCATGGTTTTTTCCTGTGCAATAGGAATTCCTAGCTCAGAGAAAACGTTTTGAACCGTGAGAATGTGCGCCGCTGGAATAGCATCGGGAGGCGAGATTATTAAAAAGTCGTCTAGCAAGTGAATGAGGTAAGGGATGGCATAGTTGTTCGACAGGATCCAACAAACGGCTTCTGATAGCATGTCAAATATTTTGGGGCTGCTTTTGCAACCAAATGTTAAACGGACGGCGAAATAATATTTCCCGAGCCAGCAAACTCCAAATAGATGCCATGAACCTGGATGGATAGGCATTACTTTGAAAGCAGAAGTAATGTCGATTTTTGCAAGCCAAGCACCCCGACCTGCGATTTTTATCATGTCGATAGCCTGATCTATGTCGTGGTATTTGAGCGAAAATTCATCGAGAGGGATCAGGCTGTTTATGCTTGGGAACGGAGAATTGTGCGGGGCTGACAGGTCAATTATTAGGCGTTTTTTACCCGAGAATTTCCTTGTAGCCACTCCAATGGGGCTGACACGAAACGGATTGAATGGAGGATTGTCAAACGGACCGATCATGAAGCCAGACTCAACTTCTTTTTTTTTGATCAGTTTTTCTACAACTTCGGGTTCTGTCAGGGCGGATTGGAGGTTATTGCATATGATGTTTTGAGAAAGCGGGCATTCTAAGCCGGGTTTAAAGCCGTTTTTTTAAACCTGACAGCAGATAATCGGTAAATTCGGTATTTGGGTGATGAGCTAGTTCGTGTTGCATGCGCGAAATATTCACAGGAGTCGCCAAATAATTTTTAGATTTTTTATTCACAGACTTGAAGACTGGACATACGATGCGAGCATGGGCGCCGCCACAAAAGCTGCAGATGTGCATGTAGCGGCAGCGCGCTCTTTGACATTTGCCTGCGTTGAAGTGATTACAGGGCTGCCTGCTTTCGTCAAACGTAGAATCTTGAATTGCGCTGGTGGTTGCTGCACGCGGCACATAGCTGGTGGATTTATTATTACTTATTCCCACAAAGGGAAGAGAGGTAGTGTTAACCTGTGGGCATGTTGCGGTTGAGTGAGCCACTGACCTGCAAACTGCACAGGTAATGTTTTTGCAACCTAAAAATACCCTGCTGTGAAGATCAGAGTCGAGTGCACCCCAGTATGTGCACTGATTCCATTGTGCGACTCGCACGGCACTTTTTGCAGAAAAAAGTTTATGGTACGTGTAGAAATGTCCTCCCCCATAGGACAGCGCGAGTTCGGCAATGATTGCTTGATAATCGTTCAGTTCGCGCCGCCTGTGGGGGAAGGCTGAACAGACGATTTCCGTGTAACGTGAAAAAGCAATCGTGAATTCGGGAAATGAAAGGACGCGAGATGAGTGTGTGTTTGTGTTTTTCAGGGTCACTGAAAAATCGCCGCAATCCACTTGGCGGTCTGATTCGGCTGCAGGTAGGAGAGACAACAGAGTGGAGAGGTCTATGTCCATACCTGAGAGGATCTGAGCGCGGATGGATTGAGAAACCGGTGGGGGTTCCATGGCAACTGCATTGAGCGGAACAGGCATCGGAGTGGCTGTGAAAAGAGAATATGGTGATTTAGTTTGTATAATGGAACTGGGAAGGGTATTATCCGGGGCTGCGATTGACGGCTGTGCCCTCGCGATTGGATGACCTGTTGTAAAATTAGAAGGAAAGTTAGTTGGAGGATATGAGGGATGATAGAAAGCGGTGTGAGGTTGTGCTGCAAGCGGAGGCGGGCCTGCGCTTGCTTGAGCTACTGGAGCTGCAGGCCACTGGAAGTGGGCGGGGTTGTAACCTGTTGGGTAGACCTGTTGTTGACATTGTTGGGTCTGTGATGCTAGCGGCGATAGCTTCGCGCTAGTGTATGCAGCTGGAGCTGGAGGCCACTGGAAAGGAAAAGGGTTATGTACAGCGGGAGAGTAGAATTGAGCGGCTGTGGGGAGGCCGCTGGCCCCGGCTGTATGTGGCATTGCGGCGGCGGAAGCAGAGGTGGAGGGCTGGGCCTCATCAAAAGGTGATAGTGGAGCTGTTGTGACGAAACCTGAAGAGCGGCCCTGGCTCGCTGAGGGCCTGTTGCTGCGGCGGCTCGAAGGGCGAAGCGAGCTGCGTCCTGTGCGAAGAGACGAGGGTGGTGACTGGGCAGGCGAATTTTGAGCCCTGCGGACTTTGCTCTGCCTGTGGGTTGTTTTAGGAGTTGGATTTAACGAGACGTATAAATCATACAGCTCCGCTTTATTCATTTTCCTTGGAACTTGTAGATCGGAGTTGCCCAGCGCTTGCCTCAAACCAGCCACGGTCCATTTCCCGATGGGTGGGATCGTCGGGACGGCTGAGCGGTAGGAGGAAGCTGGGGAAGAAGATGGAAGTCTTGCCGGAGGCGGCGAAGACTGGTCATGGCGTCTTGTTGAGCGCCGGGCTGATCGGGCCGGTGTGCGGCCGCGAGGAGATGCCGGGGGCTCAGGTGCACCGACCGGCGTAGAAGGGATGACCGTGGGACGAATGGATTGAGAAGTTGCATCCGAAGTAAATTCTTCGTCGGAAGAGGAGCTTGTTGGAGACATGCTGCGAGTAACCGGAAGTTAACCGAGGCGGCGAGTCTACTGAATGCTGCAAACTGTTAATGGATCGAGGTAAGACTGCTGAGTCTATTTGTACCCTCTTATCATTGATTGCTGATTGCTGTCCACTCGTGTCAATTATCTGAACGTGCTCCTCCCGAACTTAGTTAATAAAACTTCATGTGTTTGGCAGTGCCTGTATACAACCATCAATGATCAAAATCAAGAGGTTTTTGTTTTAATCCCCTTATGTTTTCCCCTGTCTCAAATCGAGCCGTTCGATCGTTTGACCGTGTGACGTAGTGAGAGAAGATCATTATCATATAAAGGCAAATGCACTTAAACGGTGTACTGAAAACAGAGCTGTTTTTGACCAGGTGAGTGTTTGCTGACAATACTAATGATACTTTTTAATTGAAGTGTATTGCAAACTTTTCATTTAGACCCTAAAGAATCCAATTCACTTTGGCATTATATGACCTGGTTGCATATGCAGTACAGTGCCTGGTGTGCAATTATGAAAAGTGAGTGATGCATGTATTTTTCTCTCCTTCAGATCACACCTCCCTTTGGCATTTTTTGTTCTTGGGTCTCTTTCTAGTGTCATTTCCTCTTTTTCCTCTCTGCAAGGAAGAGCATATTCTGTGGAGTCGCACTCCATGAAACTGTGTTAAATCCAGCTGAGTCTTTCCTCTCTACTGTGATACGTTCACTCACATTATCCGTATGTGTGCGTGTGCGTGTGCGTGTGTGTGTGTGTGTGTGTGTGTTGCTCTGGGATAACTTTATTGCTGACAGTGGTGTTTTGTTTCCATGGCAACTGCTCGAACCCGTTCCCTTTGCCACTGAGGAGATGAGGTGAGTAGCCCGCATGCAGCAGATGGTCAGGAAGAGGAAACTGCTAAAGAGGCCAAAATGCTGGATAGTGACAGGGAGAAAATTTATAATGAATGAAAGGGATTTGCTGATGCCATGAATGAATGAGTGACCGTGTTTGTCATCTTCAAGGTGAAAGCGTTACTTAGGTAGGGTAGGCTACTGTGCCTGACTGACAAAAATAAATCTTAGACCACTGAAGAGGATACATTCTCCCAAGTATTCTGATTAGTGGTCGACTAGTATTGTTTTTTCAATGGTTGATTGATTCTTAACCCTCATGTTCTGTTGTGAACCGAATGTTTTGTAAATATCACCACTGTATGTTACAATTTGAGCTACTGGAAAGCTACTTACTTTCCCAGACAACATGTTTTTTTTTATAGCACTTTCTTACGTTTTTCTAACTGTCAGTTGGTCATGGTGTAAAATGAGAGATCGGCTCTGATATGGTGGTGATCAGGTAATCATGGGGAGTCATTAAACCACCAGAGTCATCCATGTAGAATCAAAGTGACGTAACTAAAAACTCTCCAGGAAACTTTCAATTTCATGTTTTCACCACAGGTGGCAATAGAGAGGCCAAAGAGCCATATAGTCTTTTAAGTAAAATGAATTTTCTAAGAATATTATTCATGGAAGATGGTTGAATGTTGAAATGTTGATAACAAAAAGGATAGGTTAAGAAAAGTAGAAAAAATAAAATAAAAAATAAACCTGATTATGTTACATCCTTGCTGCAAGGAAATGCAGTTGGTTAAGTTACATGACACCTATTGCCGCATCTCTGTCATAAGAAATAGAGGGTGCAATAGAAGGATGAGTGAGATGGAGAGAAAGCTTATAGTTATACAGTAGCTATGCTGGCAGAATGCCACCTCATATCGCATGTAATTAGTTCTGTGTCTTTGTGACGACCTCACCAGCTCGGACTCAGGCTGGCACAGAGCATGCTCAGGCAGAACTCATCACTTGAGTTGTAATTAAAAGCCACCAGCACTGGGTCAATGTACAGACTGTGTTTAAGGAAGCTCCCTGGGGCTTTCCTGCTTTATAAGGCTGGCACTGGTCCAGCTATAGGCAAAACACAGAATTGCATTTGAATTTGAATACACATTTTATTACAATCAAAAATAAAAATAAAAAAATAGGTCCCCTACCCTCTTGATGGATGCCAATGCAACCAGGAGAGCTGTTTTCTTGACAAGAACTTAAGCTCCACTGATTTCAAAGGCACAAAGGAAGCACTCTTCAGGGCAGTTAGAACCAGTGAGAGGTCCCAAGAGGGAATGAGAGGAGGCGTGGAGGATTCAGTCTTCTCACCCCTCTCAGGAACCTGATGATCACGTGCTTTTTAATGGACTTACCCTCAACTGCGCCATGTGCGGCGAAAGTGGCAACATAGACTTTCAGGGTGGAGGGAGACAGCCTTCGCTCCAACCCCCTTGGAGGAAGGAAAGTACAACACAGATCTGGCATTTTCTGGGGTCTCCTTGGTAAGAAGAGCACCAGGAGATGAAGAAGTTCCACTTCAACACGTAGGCATGTCTGGTGGACGACGCTCTAGCAGAAGTGATGCCACCACCGCTGGTGGTAGGGTACTTAAACCTGCCTCGTCCCATCCAGGAGCCACACGTGGAGGTTCCAGAGATCGGGACGAGGGTGTAATGGGTGCCCCTTCCTCAGTGGAATTGGCCAGGGATGTGCTGTCGCGAGGAGTACAAGTTTGGAAAACCAGGTCCGGGTGGGCCAATGAGACGCAACCAACATGACCTGCTCCTCGGCCTTCCTGATTTTGCACAGTGTTTGTGCAAGAAAGCACAATAATAATTTACCAAACAATAATAATAAACAATTAACAATCCGTGGCGAGCAAGGCGTAAAACTGTCCACCAGTGCGTCCCCAAGCTGATCCCAAATAGGTGCCAGAGCACTAGGTCCGTGTGTTGGCAAACCTGGTCTCGAGCGTGAGCTATGGTCAGCCAGTCGTCAAGATAGTTCAGGATGCAAATCCCGAGTTCGGCACAAGGGCTGCCTCGACAACATTTGTGAAGATGCGAGGAGACAATGGGCTGGAGGAGACAGGGCTAGTCCGAATGTCCCCACAAAGATTTAATTAAACGGTATAATAAAATAATAATTAATAAAAAATAAAAATGGGTCAAATAATAACCAGTTAAATTAATATACAAAAAAAAATTGCTTTTAAAAGTTGTCCTTTTATAATTGTATTAATTACAATCTTAGCCAAGACAATGGTTAACAGGTTACATTGTGACAATAACACATGCCCCAAAAATAGAATCAGGATATTTTTTTTTCCAGTAAAAAGCGTTAAAAAAATGTGTGTTGAGTGTGTGTTTGTTGTGAGTGTGTGTGTGTGTGTTTTGGTGGATGGAACATCTGTCTGTGATGTGGCCAAATGCACAGAATTTTTTCAATATTTTCTCTGTCCCTTGCATAAAAAGTTATACCAATATGTTACTGATACAGATTTGTATTAATGTTTCCTCTCTCTCTCTCTCTCTTGCAGGTGTGAGCTGGTGTCTCACGGTTCCCATTGAAGAAAAGAAGCAGGTTGCCATTGCAGATACAGGCAGATAGATTCGGCAGATGTGAATTAGATTATAATCTCAATCAGATATCAAAACTACTTCTCACACACTGAGGACCGGAATTACCTTCTAGACACATGCTTATGCTTGCACGTTCATAGTTTCATATTATCATTTAATTTTAATGGTTAAACAATGTAAGACAAATAATACGTCATTTCTTAATCAGAAGCTAGTTATTTTAGTCAATTAGGTTTTAAATATGGATATTTTTTCTTACATGAACACATCGCTTCACTTCAGAAGGCCTGTATTAACCCTCGCAGAGCCGTGTGGATCCTTTTATGATGGATATGCACTTTGATGGACTTGATATAAATGGCCATTCACTGCCATTATAAAGCTTAAAAGAGCCAGGAGATTTTTAATATAACTCAGATTGTATTCTTTTGAAAGAAGATGACTTGAGGGTGAGTAAATTATGGGCTAATTTTCCTTTTTGTGTGAACTATCCCTTTAATATAATGACACGTGCAAATGTCTGACCATATAGAGCAATAATGTCAACTTTGACAACACATGTTATTATTTTAAAAATACACTCCCGGTTTCACATACAGACCAGGCTTAGATTAAGCCAGGATTAGGCCATAATTCAATCAAACTTTCAGTTGAAAAAGCTCCAATATGCATTTAATCTGTGACTAGGCTCAAGCCTTGTCTGTAAAACCGAGGGACAACGGTCATTTTTTCCCGATTTTTCAAAGGGCATTTTTTCTAAACTCAATATAAGTTAATATGAGTTAACTCCCTCCCTGCACACACTGCTAATTGTAGGCTATACTGTAAAACATTCATTTCAGGATGCATAAAATGGAAATAATTACCTTTCTCTGACAAAACAAGGCCAGTTACTGTATGTATTGTTAAAAATGCTTTCAACCCTGCTGTTGAAATAAAAATATATATAATGATACATTCAAAAACTAATGATACATTATTGTAAAATCACTGTCATCCTGGTTATAAATGGCAAATATATGACTCAATTAATTACTGGAAAAAAAAAAAAAAAAACAGAAAAGCATGTTAACAGTTCCCGACCATCTTTTTCCTCATTTAGTGCAAATAAATAAATAAATAAAATAATTTTGACTAGTGTTATCAAAGAGCAATTTTAGAATCAAGAAGCACATCATGTGCTGATAGAGGTGATAAACTGCACACTCAAACCTACAAACTCCATTTTAAAGGAGTGTATACTGCATGTGTCTTTAGTATTTGATGTATGTCATGTTCTTTCACATCAAGCCAAGCACGACTGTGATAGTCGGGATACAGAAGGGGAATCCCATTCTTCATTCTGACCTGTCTGAGATCATGTTCTGTGTTCTGTCAGGAAGCTTAACTTAGGCTAATTATTGACAGACAAAGACGGATATTTGTCAGAAAGGAGAAGTTAACCCAGAGTTAACCCATAGCTCATCACCCTAAAACAGGCATTTCAGTGAGTTCTTGGAAATGAGGGGTAACATTTTACATTTCTGTTTACATGTTACAATTGTAAGTTTCAATTTGCAGTTAGCTATTAACACATTGTGCGTAACAACATGATGTTGCTCAAATCATGCAAAAACATGATTAGCCTACATGTCAAGCCCTGTGGCTTGAGGTGTTGGCCTGGTTCCTGCAGCAGGTGCATCAAAGGTTTGCACAGGGCAGGGGGACCCCCAACTTTAACACACATTCTGTCCACTCCTCTGCCAAAGCTTGAAGATCTTGACTCAAGATTCTTGAGCCAGAATCGGCTTCATGTGCTTAGAATAGGATATGTATTTTTGTCTGGGTGTTGTAAAAGGCATATATACACCATGTTTCTTATATGGTGTGTTAGGGAGAGAACGAGAGAGAAACCACACACTTCCAGTCAGTTGTTCTCAAGCTGTGTTTCCTGTCGCATGCTTTGCGACTCTAGCAGAGCTGCAGAAGTTGTGTTCCTTCTCTGCAAACTTTACTTACACAAGCAGACGCAAGTGTTAATAGTTTATTTTAACACTACCATAAACAAACGGCAATGCATATTAGGCTACCAACATTCATCAACCAAATGTTTAGATGTTGTACAGTTTATCAAACTATCTATTCATTTTATATAGCCTACACTGTACAGCTATACAGGCTACATTTAACAAGGTTTTCAAAGCTTGTAAAGTGTGTTCACAAAAGTTATGCCACATCATGCTACAAGATCGATATAGACGTTTGCGAACAGAAATTGTAATCATGGCAACAGTTCCTTGAATCGACCCCATTGAAAGTCAATTAAACATTTCTCACACGGATATAGTGCGCTCTGTGGGGCGGAGTCAAAGGTTCCGCTCGTTCATGTGGGTGCTGTTGTTCAGTGCAGTGCTTTGAAACGCGGCTCCACGCGGACGCGCATGCAGGACAGGTTGAGCGTACAGGGTGATTTGGGAGACGGTAAGGTGACAGTTCTTCTGCGGGATGTTTATCTTTTCTTCGTTACCGAACAGTAAATCAGCGAGAAAACGGTAAACTAATTTGGTACAAAATTAGTTTCATACAAAATACTGAAAGTTGCCAGTGCCACTACCAGAAATAGATGCGTGAAGTTGTTTTACGCTTGCAACAGTGCGTGCGCGTTGACACGCCGAGATGCTCGTTTGAACTGTTCGCTTCTGCATTTATATTTGTCATATCAAAAACTGTTCGCTTGACGTGCTTAAATGCGTGGAATTTGTTTTGTAGACAAATGTGCCGTAAATTTAACATTAAATAGCCTACTTATGTTGGTCAGGATAGTGAAGGAAAAACTTGAAAGTGGTTGAGAGAAATCCTATGCAATCTAAAATATAACCTAGACAGCAGTGCTACTTTGAAGAAGCTAAAATAGCCTATGTAAACTGTAATATAATTTCTTTTGGTCGGCTTTTCTACTTCAGTTTCCAATTTCCCCTTTTTTGCAATAAAAGTTATTATCAACTCAAAAATTACAAACGATGCAAAGTATTTCGCTTTGTTTTACTACTTAGTGTTAAGTGTTGAGTAGTAGGCTACATTTATGCTCTGAACCTCTGCAAAATAGCACAGTTACACAAAGAGATCATTTATCGAGGGAATGAGACTTTTAAGCTAAGTGTTTATTCATGAAACAACTTCCCCGTAACAGCAGTCAAATTAGCTTTCAGTCTTTAAATTGCTTTTTTTGTTTATCTCTCTTTATTTTAGTGCCTGTAGCCTATATGATCTAGTGATGTTTGCATGACCTCTGAGGTCTGAGGAAGATACAAATATGATAAAAAAGCCAAACACAGTTTTTATTTGAATTCAAATGTATTCATATTTTCACACTGTTTTAGCCTGTTATCTTGATTTTCCAGATTGACAGACTATAATATGTGAAAGAGTGCAAATCTGTAGAGGGCGGATGAAGTGTGACCGGTTCAACACCAGTTCTGACTGTGTACAGAATTATTTAATAAATTTAATTACAAATGAAATTATCAGAAAAAAAAACTGAATGTCACAATTGAGTAAAATTTGAATTTCATTGAACATATTTGGTTCGTCCCTCTTTTGCTTTAATGACAGCAGAATAACGAAATATTCTCCTGCGTGATCTGAGATGATCCAAAGAGCATCTTTTTTGGAGAACATCTGACACATGATCAATGTCACAAATCTACTTATTTAAATAATGACCTATGAATCTTGAATTTGTTTCAGTGTGGACCTTTAAACCCTAGTTAAACCCTGCATGAGAAAGTTTAGGTTTGAATTTTTGATAAACTTTGACATATTAACCCACCTTAAAGTATCTTTATGCAGAGTGGATCTAATTTGCTCTAGCATATTCTCTCCATCTCATCTCTCTGATTTCTCATTCATAGCCAGATTAAGTGAGATTATTGCCCAAAACCAAGACAACATCTCTCCTCCTCAGGTTACTAATTGTGTATCATTGATCAGAGAACAGACAGTGTTCTGTAACATTTGCAGTCAGGTTTCTAATCATCATGGATGGCACACTTTGCACTCCATTGAATGTAAAATTGTTGCTTTTTGAACGTGTCGTCATTGAGCCTTCTTTGTCTCTGTCTGCGTTACGACAGGAGCTCAGACTCAGTTTAGGCAAAGATAACTGAGCACCATGAGAACATTAACATGACTGACAGATCCGCTCTTGCATCTAATCGCTGCTCATCTGAGAATTTATTTTTCACAAGGGCAGAGGGGAGAAGAAGGGACAGACGACTCCAAATCCATGTCTGCAGAGAGTGGTTCAGTGTAATCGGTGACAAATTGAAATAGATGACATCGGAAACTATGCCAGAGTAGGACTCTGCAAATCAGTACAATACAAACAGCATGTACACTATGTGAGACCAAAAACATAATGAGATTTAATTGCAATCATTGTTATTGGGACAAAAAAAAAAATGAACAGAAGTTTGTTTTTGTTTGGTCATCAATAGTCTAATCCAAGAGGCATGATTAGATGCACATGCATTTCTTTGAACGAATCCAGTATTTTATGAAGAGAATATACATCAGCCCTAATATTATTGGTGCAATTGCAGGGCTAAAATTTAATTTCAACTATGAGACAATATTACATCTGCTGCAGCTGCAGCATTATTCATTAACATTATCTCCGAACGGAGCACACGTCACTCCTCTCCTCACAAAGTTGCACTGGTTGCCAGTTGCCGCTCGCATTAATTAAATTCAAGTCACTGACGTGCGCCTACAGAACAACCACTGGCACTGCTCCCTCTTACCTAAACTCACCACTTCAGACTTATGTGCCATCCAGAAACTTGCGCTCTGCTAGCAAATGTCGTCTTGTGGTACCATCCCAAAGAGGCACAAAATCTCTTTCTTGGACCTTTACCATATGATTTTTTTGATGTGTTTATAATGGACAGGCTTAAAGGGTTAGTTTAACTAAATAGAAGCTATAAAAGCTTCAAAACATTATAAGTAATAATGGACTTAAATGTTTGTTTCCTAAAAAAAAAAGTTATCTTAAAAGTTAGAAGTTTAGACAACCTGGATTGTACAGTAGCACACGTGTGAATAGACTAATTGTATGTTTTGTGATGCCACACAATTGACACCTGCATCTGTTTGTTCTTTAGGTGGAGCTGACTGTGATGGTCTCCTGATGCCAGTTAAACAAGTGTCTTAACACCCTCAGATCACAGACAGTGTATTATAGTAGGTCTTGAGCTCTTCGTTCATAATTATGCCCCCCCCCCTCCCATTAAAACTTTTAGGACTGAGTGGTCAAATCTTAAGCTATGATAAGCATTGAGTAGCCTTTTTCTCACCAACTTGCTCCCTTAATACAGATGCACTTTTGCATTACTTAATTGTGACTAGCTAACCACAGTAACCACAGCTGCACACTTTTGCTTAGCAAGAACATCAGCAGGAGTTTGACCTCTCTGGTCTCTCACAAGCCTGAGGTTAACGCATTTATTCGTCATTTTCTGGTGCTTTCATCTGCCTGGTTTGTTTAACCTGTAACATTTCTCTATCTCTTTAATGGCAGTTTATAGACCCTCTCCTCCGTTCAAATCAGTATTTTATCATGGAGGCCAGGGGAAAGTATGACTTCAATGGCACGGCAGAAGATGAGCTGAGCTTCAGGAAAGGAGACATTCTGAAGGTGAGTGATTGATAGAGGACCCAAGCACTCAAACTAAAAGCTCTAACTTTGGTTTCAGATTGTGAGGCCCCTGAGTCAGGGCTTTAAAACACCGCTCACTGCAAGCATCATTCTATGCATTGACCGCCACATGAATGTGGCACAGTGTAGAGAGTGAATAAGACAAATCCAGCTATTGTTTTGATTCATTGAAGAAAAAAATGGGCTCGCTAAACATGGGTTCATAAAATCTGGATGCTTCATGACTGCACAGAAAATGAGGCATTAAAGATTTCTTCAAAATGTAGCTTTAAACACATATAGAGGTGTGAACCTATCAAGACACACATTAGATGAGTCATGTGAATTGTCAAATAATTGTTGGCATCAGCAGCCGATAGAGGATAAAGTTCAAACAATCTTTTAGTGTTGCTCTACCACCCCTGACTACAGTAGTCTAGCTAGTACAAAGTTAATGTGAGTCATATGATCACTGTCCACTGTTAGTTTTTTTTTTTTTAATTAAACAAACACAATTATGCATTGCATAAAATATTATAATATTAAAAAATCCCTGTTAAAACTTCCTTCCAAAAAGTCAGAATTATGATATTAAAGTCAGAATTATGGCATTAAAGATTTATTTATTTTATCATACTTCTAACGTTTTCCCTCATATTTCAGCTTTTTATGTCATAAATTACTTTTTATCTCATATTTCAGCTTTTTGTCATAAATTACTTTTTATCTCAAATTATCTCATAAATTTGACTTTTTAATTCATAGTTAAGACTTAGAAATTCATATAAATAAAAATATCTATCTCATAACTAATATTTACCAATACATGATTTTTTTTTTATGTGACAGAAATTAATTTTGACAAATACTAATCTAAACAGATCCTAGGATCTCAAGACGAGTGGTTCAAGGCAGAGCTACACGGTCACGAGGGCTTCATACCAAAAAACTATGTTGAAAGGCAAACGCCAAGGTGAGCTCATGTGATATTAATCTTTTCAACCACATGCAAATAACCTGTGAGCATGTAGTAGTTAACAGTGAGACCTGAATAAACACACGTGTATTTGGATTTCCTCTCCAGCTGGTTCAAAGAGACCGCCAGTCGTAGCTCGGCTGAGGAGATGCTAATTTCCCAAGAAGTGGGTGCTTTTCTGATCCGTGGCAGCCAGAGTTCACCTGGAGACTTCTCCATCTCAGTCAGGTAAAACTGGAATTAGTGGATTAGAATGTCAGATTTAAATTTTTGCATCAGCACTTATCCATCCATATTTGTTTTGCTTGTGTGTTTTCTTAATTTCGCTTTAATCAGCATAAAATTATACGAAAAGAATGTTGAAAATGTTATCCTAGTACAAATATTTCAGCTGACCATTGAAGGTCACCCTTAGAGTGCTGTGAATCTTTAATCCCATTCGTTGTAATGTCGGTATTCTTACCCTTTAAGCCATGAGGCTGAAAGATCGTCATTGACTAGATGCTCACACCTGAGCCATTTCATGCTCACACACACACTGAATCTGGCCTATGGAAACACTCCATCAATAATGCATCTGTAACATCCATCTTATTACAGCGTTCAGACAGTCCATTTGTTTCAGCCATCCTCTCATAAATCGCCTATACAGCAGGTCCTTACTGAATGCACTGTGCAAGAATGAGAGAGAGAGAGAGAATGAGCAAGGGTTCCCTCTAGTGCAGAGAGCGGGTTGTGCAGCTTCTGTTAACATTAAAAAAGGAAACACTAATAGATAGTTTAGTTGATTAGTATGTTATTGAAGACAGGCAAGAGTGTCAGGGGGTCGTTGGGGGGGGATCATAGGAATAATATTAGCATTTGTGTTTTGTTGTTGTTGTTCTTAACAATTGCTCAGACTTGCAGAAGAAAAGATTCTTCCACCGTCTCTTCCTCTTCCACCTGCACTGTCTCTTCCTCTAATGGGCCAACCCTTTTTGCCACCTTCTTTGGGCCAGCATCCTCTAACCTGGCCTTTTTGGGGAGCTTTCCTCTAAGGGCGAATGAGAAGATGCTTAATTGCTAAGAGGACAGATGCAATGATTGCATTAAATCTTACCTAGATACAATAGAGCTATTTTCTTATTGGCTATTGTGTAGCCCCTTTCTTTTTTTTTCCTTTTTTTTTTATTGGCTGATAAGTGGCAGGCTCGACTAAGAAAACTCCAAGGGAGACACGCTTGATTCCTGTCGGCTCCATAGTGAGAGCTGCACAGCCAGAGAAATTTTGGGTGCTGTGGCATATTAAATATATTATAAATAGTTTTTCCACTTGGGAAATACAATGTGTGGCTGGAGTGCGTGACAAAAGACCAAAATGAGTTACTGTCATGCTCAATGCGTGACACTTGAGAGCCATGCAAGACACTGAAATAAGTGTGAACATTTAGGGTTCATTTTTGTAACATTCACTTATTAATATCTCACTTTGATTTTTTCCACTGCTCTACAGACATGAGTATGATGTACAGCATTTTAAAGTTATGAAGGATAAATCGGGCCAGTACTACCTGTGGACGGATAGGTTTACATCTCTAAACAAGCTTGTGGAGCATTACAAGACCAACTCCATATCCAAGCAGAGGGAGATCTTCCTAAGGGATGGAAGTGGAGATGAGCCAAGAGCACCTCCACCTGTAAGTAAACTCTAGATTTAAATCAATAAATACAGTGGGTTTGCTGTTAATCTTCTAGGTCACTGTTTATACTGAATCTCAAAGCAGAAGTCCAGTCAAACTTAATCATTAATTGATCACCTTCTTTGAACTAATCCATCTGCTGATTTCACTCTTGCTTTTCAAGAGATATCTGATGTAAGATCAAAAAGTGAAGCTTTGTGGGGCAGAAATTTTAATTTCTAGGTTTATGAATATTATGAGCAGATCCTGTCAAACGTGGCTTAAATGTAAATGAATCTGAGAGTCTGTGTAAAGGAGATAATGATCAATGATGTTCAATCCTTATTTTCAGTTAAAGAGTCAACCAGAAGCGCGGCCACCCCCAGGTAGTGGTTATGGCGGTCCACAAACCTCATCACAACACCGCAACACAACAGATCAATCTCACAACCAGAAGGTACAGTACAAGCATGTCAACGGTCATACCCCAGCTGTGCATGCATTTAAAACTAAACCATGCTGAATTATTAAAAAGCTTCCATTCAAAATAGAATTATACCTGCTCCAACTAACCAACTGTAACCTATAGGAAACCTTCAGTAGTTTCACTTAAATGACTTAACTGAGCTTACTGAACTTAAATATACAAGCTTGATAAACATGATCATTCTAGAAGATTTCTAGAAGAATTTCAAATGGCACTTAGAGGCTTTTGCATCTGAACGCTTCATATATATATATATATATATATATATAAATTGTAAATAATTATGCATAATTGTTTAGCAAGAAAAGGGAACTGGCTAATAAATAAAGATGTGCTCTTTTTTTAGAGTAAGAGAGGAAGTGTTGAGGAGAAAGCTAACACTGTGGGTCACCAAGGGAGGAACAGTCCAGCCCCTCGGCGAACCTCTGAAACTTTGCCTTCTCCGGTATGATACCAGAAATCTCACTTGCTCTCAAGGCTGAAACACTGTCTTGAGTGTGAACTTCTTCTTTTTTCTTTTTATAAAAAGGTGACGTGTAATATTTTCAATGTTAAAATACTTTCCTGTCCCAGCTTAATATGCTGAGACAACCAGCCAATGCCGTGAGTTTGGGGGTAGGATTATCTTTTTGTCCGAACAATAGAAATAAGGGGGTGTTTGAGAATCTTGTTTGCAAACAGTTATTATTTATTTCACCTTTAAATGTCTAGTTATATAAATACACAGAAGAATATTAGTACCTTTTATGGTACTACTGACACTATATTGTGTGTGTGTGCGTGTGTGTGTGTGTGTGTGTGTGTGTCAGAGGTCAACCATACAGGTGAGAGCTGTATATGACTTCACTGCAGAGGAAGATGACGAGCTGGGCTTCAATGCTGGTGACATAATTGAAGTACTGGACCGTTCAGATGCATCGTGGTGGAAAGGCCGATTGCGTGGCAGGACTGGACTTTTCCCTGTCAATTACACAGATCAGATCTGAGATCTTCTGACAGCCTGGAGGTGTGGAATCACAATACTAAATCCATCGTACTCTCGCCAAATGCCTGCCTATAATGTATGGACTGGTTGATTAATTTTAAATTAGCTAAATAAAGCTGGCTGCAGAACATTTGAAGAGAAGTGAGAAAAAGACATTACTCATGAAGTCTTTGTTGCTTCTCTTTTTTTAACTATAGGTTTGTTTGTTTTGTTTTGTTTTTTACAAGGTACAAAGAAAGGCCAATATAATTTCACTTATGTCAAATTCTCCTAGTGACTAGAAGGTTCCCTCTTGTACAGTATGATTGACTGAATTATACAGTACATACTGTAGCCCATACAATGACCATTTTATTGTTTTCATGTCCAGTTTACGTTTTTATTTTAAGATTTTCAGTAGCACACACTAAGGTGTTACAGTACCAAGCCAAGCTTTCATGTTACTGTACCAATTTGTGTACTAAAAATCTTAATGTTGTTTGTCAAAATAGGCCTATGGCACAGCCAGAATAGGTCTGATTATTGTTTTACTATGCAGAATGGAAAATACAGATGGCAAATATGATGATACCAGCCATAGTATGATGGATTTTAATAAACTTTACATTAATGCTTTCAGAAATAAGTTGTGATATTTTTTTAAAAGAATATAAATCCAAATAATAATAATAATATTATAATAGTAATAATAATCTGTCATCATCACCAAACCTGTATGACTTTCTCGTTTCTGTTTTTCAATAAGTACAGTTATACAGGTAGTCTAAATGATTTTATAATTTTTTTATAAATTAATAAAGAGAAAAGTTCTGCGTCAGTCAGGGAAACTACCGTGACAGTTTCACCTGTCTTTTATTGAACTTAAACAAGTGTCGTCATGTCAGTTCCCAATAACCTTCTTACAGTTCGACGATTCTCCGCCCAGAATTGTACAGAAACCCCGCCCACCCATTCTCTATCCTCTTGCTCTGCAAGCACCTCAACCAACCACTCCAACAGGTAAAGGTGGGCTCAGTGTGCTGCCTGGAGCCACACAGGTGAACCGTTGTTTCCGGGAGCACAGCTGTCATGGCTGAGTCTCAGCTAGTATGCATGGACGACGATCATGTTAACGTGAAGATACCGGAGTCCAAACCGGAGTTTTATTACAGCGAGGAGCAGCGGGCCGCGCTCGAGCAGCTCTTGAAGAATGGGGATGGCGCGTTTAAGATGCGTCTCAAAGAGGATAACATTAAAGACTTTCTCTCCGCCAGGGAAATCAAATGGTTGCGGGACACGTTCCAGGAATATGACAGTGACTCGGACACCTGCTGCTCACGGTCGCCCCATGATACCAGTGAAGACTCAGGTGTTCACTCAACCTACTGGCCGACCATGTCTGATATGGAGATCCCTCCGCTGGATATCGGTTGGCCTAGCAACGGCCATTACAAAGGGGTAACTCGGGTGTCTGTTTACACCCACCCACCCAAATCTAACAGTCCGCACATTAAGGAGGTGGTCCGCAGACTCATTCAAGAATCTACAAAGGTAGGCGACTATAAATCTATTTTTTAAGTACTAGTAGGCTACTTAAAAAAAAAAAAAAATAAATAAAATAAAAAATATATATATGTGTGTGTGTGTGTGTATATATATAGTATGTGTCACAATAGCCTACACTGTAAAAAAATACTGCTAAACATTAAGTACAATCAACTTCTTTTGAAATTAGTTGAATCTTGTATAACGTAAAAAAAGTTTAAACTTATTTTGAAAACTTCAAAATAAGTTTATTGTGAAAACTATGACTTATTGATCATATACTTCATATTATTGATCATATTGTTGATCATATATTTTTTTACTGTGTAACTAGAATATATTTAATTTTCACAATTCACTAGTAATCTGTTCAAGTAGTCAAATCAAGTCACCTATAGGCTATAGCACTTCATACAATACAGATTGTTTCAAAGCAGTTGCACAGTGATAACAGGAACATTATTCAATGATTCAAACAGGGTTCATTCCGGCTGTACCACAGCTCTAAAAGAAAATAGTGTAATTGCTGAAGTCAGTTCAGTGTTGATTCAGTTCTGTTGTAAATACCATAAATTATTAAATTAATGACTTTAATCTATGAAGCAGTCTTCAGAAAACAGTGATGTCATCGTCCAGCTCAATTCAGCTCTAATAGTGTCAATACACAGTACAGTCAGATCAATAATATTGTTGAATATTAGTATTCAGTGGCCTACTTATCCATTATTCCTTAAATAATATTCACTATAGTATCCTAATAGTATCACAGAAAGGAATGATTCCATTGTTACTGGTTAATATAGGCAATTATTTGCCTGTCAATTCTATGGGAATCTGTGGTTCACATGTCAACTGGCCATTTTTAATTCCCACTAGTATGTATTTCATTTGTTGTTCAAGTTTTACTAGTGACTCATATTACTATACTAGCTCAACTCAAGGAGATCATGTCTTTGTCCTAGTGCCAACTGAATATTTACTGTTACATTTTTATTAGACGTCTGTAGTTAACTTGTGACATAATAAATGCTACTGGTAACAACTGAGGTAGATACTAATCTGTCTGTCTAAAAGATGTTTGGTCCACAGATCCCCACACTAAAATCTAATGAATAATTAACTTGTGAAAAATATGCTAGTAACTATTGCATTACTTTAAAATGAAGCACTAAGAAATACAGTAGTAACATTTATGGACATTAAGGAAATGCGTGATTGTTAATTGGTGTCTTGACTAAGCCTGTTGTTTGAATATAGTCATGTTTTATAGATGAATTGTTTTTTATTTGTATCATGCACATGATGATGAATCATGTGGCCTCAACCTCTGTCTGTCTATGATTTGTCAGTTAATTGTCATGTGGTTCTACCTTCAACTGAGCATGAATGACATCATCTTTTAAAACAATGAACATTTAACTTTCAACTGTTTCAAAACATGCCATTAAGTGTTGGGGAAATGGAATAAATAATAATGGATAAAGTTAAGTACAAATATTAAGAATTAAGTTCAGAAGAAGTCAGGTTTCTTGGAAATTGATGAGGCCTAGTCTCTGCAGTCACTTCTTCCCGGATTTGACAACATTTCTGTCTGAAAATGTACCCCACCCCTAAAATATACCCCTACTCCTATAATATAACCCTACCAATAACTTATCACTAAAATGAATTCAGTGCTCGAAGTGAACTGGTACGCACTGACACTTCTATATTTTAATCTTTAGCATAGCCTCACTTTCTCTTCATTTCGCCATTTTTCTCATATTGCTGGTGCCACTCAAGTCAAATAATAATCATTCAAGAAATTTCTTCTGTGTAGCCTTGGGTTTTGTCTGTAACTGCCTTGTCAATCAAACTGCCCGAGGCCTCAGGTTACTTCTTTGCTACCGGGTTTACACACACACACACACACACACACACACACACACACACACAATGCAACTTCCTTAACTGTAAGTTATATTGACACACTTAGCGAACAAAGAATTTCAGCGACATCAGTCCACCCCCATGTACTGTTGTACACTTGTAACCGTCAATTAATACAAAAGCATGAAATAAAGCTTCATGGAAAATGTAAGCTCAAAACTGAAGTTTTTGTACTTTGAATTTATTTCATGAATAAATATTTTAGCTATACGTTACCTCTCACAAATACCTTGTAAATCTGTCACCTTCCAAACTGCATGAGATAATAGATCATTAAAATCTTTGTACCTGATTTTGAGTCATTTCTATTTGTAACAGTAAAATTAATACAGTGTGAAATGTATAGCTGGTTAATTGAGTTTTTGGGCTGTATTGTATAAACATTTTACCTTGTGTCTGTTCTAGATTACAATCGTGTATTTATGGTGCAAAGAGCTGTGACAAGTAAGACTTATTTGCGGTAAAACTTATTCAAATACACTTGTCAAATGAAGGTAACGTCATTCTGGCAGGTGCTGTAGTTTTGTAGTTCCGTTCATGTATAGATAAACTATACAGCAGCTGAGAGGTTGTTGTTTTTTTTTTGTCAATTTATGTGAATTTATGTTTTTACTATTCGTCTTCAAGCACAGCTTTTATAATATTCAGTATTAATACAGACATGATATGCACATGTTAGTACAACATTCTGGGTACATTTGAGATGAAGTTCCATAATCTTTAATTGGATGATATTTAGACATGCCTTAATTTCAGAACCGACTAGCTTTTCATTTTAGTTTGAGGAAATGTGTCAATGTTACAGTAGCATTACACTCTGTCCCCAGGACATGTCATTCAGGTTGATCCTGATGCTCACACATATCTTCATCTGTCTTCTGAATGTCTTTGATGTTTATCTGAAGTATATGGGAACTTCTCTTGAACTGATAAGAAACACGCGTCTTAAAAATAACATTTCCTTGAACTTTAACTTAAAAAGGCTTATAGCTCCTTGTCTTAAAGGGATAGCTTACTCACAATTTAGTAGGCCTGACTTTACAGCATTTTAAAAAAAAATAATTTCATATGCATTTTTAATTTTAGCAGAAGAACAGAATCTGTGTTATCAAAAGTAATTAAACAGACACGCCTGTGTTTGTTTTCTCTTAATGCAAATTGCTCAATTCTTATTTACATAGCTTTGACGTGCCAGTCAGTGAGGATGAAGGGTTTGAGGCCTAACCTTAAAACCCTTAGGGCTTTAAACAAGATTTAAAATTATCCAATAAATTCAAACTTGATTTTCCACGTCATTGATTTTTATGCTGAACTAGTTTATATTTTATTTGTTTAAAGGCTGAAGTTTGTGCTGAAGTGTGTTGTTTATATATAACATGTACATGCCCTTTGACCCAGACTGGCTGTTTTGTTTTATGGATATCTTGTGACAGACTCCTGTTGAGTTTGGACTTTTGGTTTAAACCCTCTTAGTATCAACTCGCCTCTAATGTGTCTGCTGGAGTGTGTGTAGCTGCTCCCTGTTCTCCCTTCACCTGTATGAGACTTCACATGTTCCCTCAAGCTGAGACAAGCTACACTGCCACTGTGAAAAGAAGACTAGGCCAGTGTGGCTTTATACACACCTCAAAGCAGAGCCCATGATAAGCTCAGTGAATCAGTTAAGCTCTTACCACTGTTTGGTTTCGCTTGGTTTTCAGTTAGTTGCTGTGGTCATGGACCTGCTGACAGACCTGCAGATCCTGCAGGATCTCTTAGATGCTGCGAATAAGAGAGGGGTGGCTGTGTACTTGCTGCTGGAGGAGAACGGCTTGCCGCACTTCCTGGACATGAGCAGCAGGCTGCAGATTTCTACGCAGCATCTAAGGGTGAGTGAAAATGATTGACTGATTCACAATCTTTACCCCATAAATCAAAACAAGGAAAGTAATGAATTGTATTTTACATAAAGCAAATATGACACCAATTTTAGGTAAAATGTTTTTTTGACAAGTAAGCACATTTCCCCCAAAATATTCATTCAGGGCCGTAGCTAGAGAATCCGGGGTCCCCTGAAAAAATATTGATGTGAGCCCCCCACCACCCTCCACCAATATATTGTATGCATACTCATATATGTGTTCTATATATAAGCATGTCATATATAATATATATATAAGCATATATATATAAGCAGTTCCACATGTAACTTTATAGGGTTTTCTTACAAAATAACAAAGCAGATAATAAATAAATATTTAATTAAACGTTTTTAATGAACATCGGCAAAAGCAAAATACACATTAAATAAAATATAACATTAAATAGAAAGGCAAATAAATAGCAAAAACTAAAACTAATTTTCCTTCAGTTATGAACATTGAAAGAAACTATGAAAATTAAGAATGATTATTATATGTATATCGGTTTGCATGATCTTTAACCTTAGATGACCTTAGGATAAACCAAAATCCCATTGTCAGACCTTTTTGTTGGCAAAGTTACTGATTATGTCTTTGAAGGGCAGCTGTCTGCTTAGCTGGCTTTCAATTGAAAGTCGGGCACGGCTATTAAACCTCTCCTGAAACGACAGAAAAATAATGTTTTTTTTTTTGTTTGTTTTTTTTTCCCCCATCAGTCTGTTATAATTAATAATCAAAAAGTAAACATTTATTTGACTTAATTTTGATTTGATTCACTTATTTTCTTTATAAATCCTTTGAGGGAAATGTAGAAATTGACAAGAACGTAGTCAAATTTAAAAAAATAAAATTATTTATTGTCTTATGTATTTTAATAAAGATAAAATGGAACTGGTAATATATTATTAAAATAAAGACAATGCTCATACATTTATTCATTCAAGTCCAGTATATTTGTGCTTCTTGATGTAATAAATACATAATATTTTGAGCTATTTACAGTGAAAAAGACAGGGGTTTTGACCGTGTAATCTTTTAGTCGATTGTTGTGCGACAGCACTGCGTACCAATAATGAAAAGTGACAGAATCCCGCAGGCTGTAGTGTAGACGGTAGTTTTCTTATTCCCAGCGAAATAACAATACACTAACCTGTCATAAAGAATGTCTTTAACGACTGGTATCCAACAACTCTCCTGGCCTCCCTGTCCTTCTTTTTGTGTCGTTTCTGATAACCTGATTTATGAATATTTTTTTCCCCCCGATATTTTTCAGTCAATCAGTTTAACATCTTCAGACAATGTTGCCTCAACTCTGATTGGTTCTCTTCACAAGCTGGAGTGGGACTTACAATTTTATTGGGCACATCTGATGTTTCTCACTGATTGAATTATTAATAAGTAAATCGGACTAAACCATTTTTAGGGAGGTAAGAGAAGTAGATATTTTAACCAAATTGCATGTTTTTGTGATTTTTATTTCAAATCTCAGGCGTACAACTAATATAAATATTAGAATTATTCATGCAAAAGTGGCCTACAGTATAACTGCTGGATTTTGTGGGGCCCCTATAATTGTCACCTTTCACCCCACTAGTGATGACCCTGTATTCATTACAGTAATGCAACAAAAAAAAAAAAGAATCTCTATCTTCTATTCTCATTACCATAATGGGAAAAAATGTGTTGTACTGGCTTTAATTCAAAAATAATTTTATGAAGGTATTGTTTTTAAAATTACTGTAATGGGAATAGTAAAAGTAAAATATTAGGATGCATTATACAAGAAAATATAAAATATTTTGTTCCTCTTATAGGCTTCGTTTTTGATTTTATTAATGATATTATCAATTTTATATTTTATTATTTATATGTATATGTATTATTTTATTTTAGATTATTTTTTAGAATATAATTCGCCATTTTAACTTAACTATTGTGACCAGGATGTTTAAATCAATTAAATAATTATACTGACCAATTCTTGGTAAACTACCAGCTCAGAATTAATCAGTGTCTGTTCTTCAACCCCATTCAAGTTTTGTTTCTTTTAAAGGCTTTGTTCAGTTAAAAAAATTAAATGCTGCCATTAATTAATTACTCACCCTCATGTCATTCCAAACCCATATGACTTTCGTTCATCTTTGGTTCACAAATGAACTTTTCCTATATGCGTTCACAAGATTTGTGTTGTTGACGCGAGAGCAGGCATGAATGCACATTGGGGATTAATATTTTGTAAAAAAAAAAAAAAAAAAAGTGGTAAATTATGTTGCTGTTTTTTTGCGCAAAGCTTTCGTGTCACTTCATAAAATCGAGGTTAAACAACTGGAGTCACATGCATTACTTTAATGATGTCTTTACTACCTTTCTGGGGCTTGAAAGTGGTAGTTGCATTGCTGTCTATGGAGCTCTCAGATTTAATCAAAAATATCTTTATTTTTGTTCCTAAGATGAACAAAAGTCTTATGGGTTTGGTATGACATGAGGGTGAGTAATAAATGACAGAGTTTTAATTTTTTAGGTGAAATTATGCTTTAATTTAAGCTATTAGTAAAACATGATCCGTTGCCATTTTATTCTAATCTTAACTCTGTGTGTGATAACACAACGTATGTTAAAAAGAAGACACATGTTATCAAAACAACAGTGTTTATACGTTAACAATAGGTAGACTTGCCTTATCAGGCTTTCCTGCAAAAGAAGTCAAACATGAACACATGACTGTCCAGATCACACATAAATGCACATGTTAACAGATTGTCAGCTGACCTATAAGGGATCTGTGTGAACTTGAAACTCTGGATGGTTCTGCAGCTGTTGCCACAGGGTTCAACTGACTTCCTGGTCTGCTGTGCACATGCATAACAGTGCTGTAGAATGAAACCCAGGACTTTACCGCAAGACTGCCCCAAATACCACGGATCTCCTTGTGATACACTGCCAACAAGCCTTATCTATGCGGATTGTTTTATGTAGGACACTGGGGCTTTTTACACTGAGCAATAGCGTTGGATAAATCAGCATTGTTATTTCCTGAAAGAGGATCTGCAGATTTCAACGGAGCTAAGAAAAAAAGGGCAACTTGATCTCATTTAGGAGAGTTGTGGAGCACCCTCATCTCTCACGCTTCTGCTTTTTCCCTTTTCATGCCAGGCTTGTTCTTGAGTACTTTTGTTGCTACAGTATTCCTTTCTTTTCAGTCCTTGGTGTGCAAATGACACACCTCTGTATACAGGGATTTATTTTTCATTAACCTCACACTAGTGATATATCTGCCCATGTCAGGTGTGTTGATCTGACGCATCTTTAGTGAAAGCCAGATTTCCCATATTATACCAGAGTAAAGGCCTATTCACACCAAGAACGGTAACTTGGCGTACAGTACACCACAGGGCGATTACATTCAGTTTTTTCATGACTGAATACAGGCCTCTGGCTATGCTTCCGCCCCCTCAGGCCTGAAAAGAAAAAATAAGTTAAAGTTGTTTTCGTAAAAATGAAAATTGGGGTGCGCCGTTAATTAAAATAAAACTGTAATCGCCATATGACTTTGTGCAGTTATCAGGTTCTAAATGCTGCTATTTAATTAAATAATTGCCCTGTGTGTTTTGTCATCTGCGGCTTTAAATGCTCAAGCTCTTAAAAGTCGGTGGATTCTGATTGACTGTTTTTATTGTTTGTCAGCTAGACTTTCTGAAAGTAATTTCAACAATATTGTTCCTCTGTGTCCTTATGTTTAAAGCTGTGGCGTGGACTTCCCTATTCTCATAGAATTAGATCAATTATTAAAACTTAAGTAGGTGTCATTGATGTGTGTGTAACTGCCTGTAAGGGTTCTTCCATAAAATTTTCAGGAGACATTCATAGAGTCAACAAAGTGTCATTTTATTGACTGTAACACTTAAGTACTAACCACACATTGTGCAATAAAGAAAAAACACTGACAATAAATGGGACATCAGCACATTAGTGAGTTCTGGGTCTCAGATGTTTCTCAGGGATCCCTCACCAGAACTAACAGAAAACAAAGCTTACTTAACCCAGACCAGACCATTTTTATAATTACAGGGGTCTCACAAAAATTCTGATTCCATTACATAAAACATAAAAGGGAAATATATATACACAAACTCAAATGAACATAACAATCACATTTACCATAAAGAAATAATAAAAATACACTTAAACATACACACACAAATCCTTTAAATACATTCAAATTAACACACGGCCCCAACCCATATTGTCCCGAAAACTACATTTCCCATAATTTCCAACCAAATATGGATACCAGGAAAGGCTGCACTCTTTTAATTCCAAGCATTTCCATGCTGAAGTTATGGATCCCGGCAGAACCACGGTTAAGGTGTACACATACAAACTTAAATAAACAAACTTAAATAAAACGTCAAATCCATATGTCGGTTGTGGTTTCATTTACTCACTAATGTGCACTTTAGAAATAAATGGGTATTGGCTTTGTTGCTCTTTTAAAATGCGAAAGAGACAATATTGCTCCTCCTCTTCCAATGTTTCGGTAAATTATATTTCATAAATAAACAGAAAAAAACATTAATCCCTTAGATCAAACGAAATATTTCGTATACAAAAATAAAATAAAATTCAAAGTAAACTAGAACCATTTAAATGAAATGTTCATTCAGTGTGACAAGCCATCACACTGCCATTTAATGGCCTTTTTTATTGTAGAGTTATATTTTTGCATGAATTTTCCATATCTGTTTTGACATCCTCTTTTACACACATAATTGAAATGATATTAACAAAAACAAACTCGTGAGTCAGTTATGTTTGGTTACTGAACAAAAGAGGCATTTCTTAATTAGTCAGACTGTTAATTTTGATCATAACTTGACTGGAATGCTAAATACAAAGATATTTTTAGCTGAACGTTTCTATCACATACACCAATATCACCCGTCGCTGTGCATATTTTGTTTTTTCATTATTATTTCACTAGATGAACCGCAAATTTAAAAATATGGTTAATTTTTCTGAAGCATAAGATTGTTCTCTTGTCATCCAAGACTGCCAGTCATCAGGGCAAATTGATGCAGTGTTCACTCTTCACCCTACTTTAATTATATTCTCCTTCGCTCTTTCAGAACCTGCGGGTGCGCACTGTGCGCGGCTCTGGCATGCCGCTGGCCTTTGGTCGTCTGCCAGGATCACAGTGCTCAAAATATATGTTGGTAGATGGAGAGAAAGTAATGTTTGGATCCTATAGGTTAGTATGTAGACCAAACAGTACAAATGCTGTTCTATCCACTGTTACTTTTTTCATGTTCTTTACTCTTCCCATCTTCATAGCTTTACATGGAGTTCCTCTAGGATGAACCGGAACACAATCACTGTGATGTCAGGACAAGTTGTTGACTTCTTCGACAATGACTTCCGAGAGCTGTATGCAGTGTCTGATAAAGTGGACCTGTACCGTGAGTTTCACATCAGCAAGCCGGCCCTGCCAGTTCCTGTGCTGAAAACTCCAGCAGAACCCAGCAAACTCACAGTTCCCGTATCCACGTCACGCTTCCAGATCTCTGTAGAGGACAACAAACAAGCGAACCTAAAGGTGCCTGCACATAAATACCACAACCCTAAGTACTCTTTAGTCGTTGGCAACAGTCTAGGTGTAACAGGCTCTCTGCAGGATCTTTCTAAACTGAGGGACTATGTTGACCAGGCCTCTGTGAGTAAAATAGAAAAATTAAGCTACCCCAATGGGGACAGTGTATGTTTACAGTCCCCTACATCCCCGGATGGGACAGAGGACGGTAAGGGCGATGGGAAGAAGCCCTCTCTGTTTGGTTCTAAAAAGCAGCGCTCTTCCTTCCGGCATTTTTTGAAAGGCAGAGCAAACAACCAGAGTCCAGATACTCTCTCTAAAACGACCCATCAAAACACAGATACGAAACAGATCAATCATAAAGACACCAAGCTTTCCAACAGTTCCAAGGAAGCATCTTGGTTGGCCAATCATATAAAGGAGCAAGATGATTCATCCAAAAACATTTCTCCTGTTACTTGCAAGATCTCAGAGACTGAAAGCACTGATGAAATTGAGGACACCTTTGAGATCATAAATCCACCACAAGTGAAGTTTAAGCTGAAAAAGAGCAAAATGGGTCCAAGGAGTGTTTCTCTTCAGACGATTGCCACAGATGGCGAGGATGGTATGTATCCTTATTACAGTCATGTACAGTATTTTCAAATGGTTCAATATTTCATGAAGGGCTGCATGATTTGGGGAAAAATCAAATTGTGTTTTTTTTAATTTTTATTCTGATTAGGGTTGGATATCGAGAATCGAGTATCAATTGGAACCGGGACTAACTTTTCGTTTTTCCCGGAATCGTTCAAAAGTTAAAATTTCGATTCCTAGTTTCGATATTCACAAAAAAAAGTTTTTTACGTTAAAAAAGTTTTTTTTTTTTTTAAAGATATTTACAGTCCGCCGAGCGGAAGAAGAAACTGCTGAACAACACCAACGAAGAAGCGTCTACCAGAAGTGTTGGCATAACCACGCGAGTCGAACATGAGTACCTTACGTCGGCGATCCAAAGTGTGGCTTCACTTTTCTAAAAATAACGAAATCTCGGTAAAATGCAAAATTTGTGACAAAAGGAGTATTTTTACAGAAGGAGTATTTCCTTCAGAAAGGCCGTTGGTTCGCAAGGTTAGCTAAACTTTTTTGACCCTGCCTCTTAAAAGAATCGGAACCGAGAATCGTTAGGAACCGGAATCGAAACAAGGAATCAGAATCGGAATCAGAATCGTTCAAATTCAAATGATACCCAACCCTAATTTTGATTAAAAAATTGTGATTGATGTTGTAAAATGGAGTTAAAAAAATCCTGGTTTGTAGGGCTGCACACTTTGGCCAAAACTTGCTGATTTATATATCAGTATGACAATAGAAATAATACTATAAATACAACTACCGGTAATAAATTACTGTTGTAATATTTCACTGTAAAATTATAAAATGCATATTTAAGAAAAATAATAATAATTATTATTATTAATAATAATTTTATTATTCAAGTGTTAAACCATTGTATTATATTTTGGCGGAAAACTGCGGGGACTCCTTAAAGCTTGTCTTTTGAACATTTTTGAGTATGCATGTCAAAGCAACCCAAACTCAGACAGATGCTGAGATGGAGTTTGTGTGGAAAAAAACATTTACTGTGACCTATTGAGCTGCTCATTTGTAAGAACAAAGTGCTGCCCTTCACTATGAAACATGCAGCGTAAATATTTATTTAAATAGCAGCCTTTAAATCTTGGTGAATGCACAGTCAAATGGCGATTACTGTTTTATTTCAATTAACCATGCAGCCTTATTTTAATTTTTATGAAAACAACTTTAACTTATTTTTTTCTTTTCAGGTCTGCGGGGGCGGAGGCGTAGCCAGAAGAAGGCTTGTATTCAGTCCTGAGGTATCCCTGTGAGAGAAATCAACAAGAACTTAAAGTAAAGTAATGTACTTAAAGATCAGGACCTTGATTACTGCTGTATAGGCTGTAAAAAATAGTACATCTTCTTCATTATGATGATTTTGGACATCAATGAAGATGTGGATAGTGATTCTTCCTACAATTACAGTATATTGCTTCAGATGTTAGCTTAAACTTTAATTATTGGTGCTGTATTTTCAGAGGTTTGAGAAAAAATGCTGCTGACACTGCAGGAAAAAAATGACTGAAATATATTGCGCAGCCTGGGATCATGTGATCTCCTTCCGGTTACAGAGCTCTTAGTTGGACTACGGAGAGCTTTGAATTTAAGTGTCTAAAAATGTAGAATGTTACAATTTTCCTGTTTGGCAAATCTCTGTCCTACATATTATCCCTGACCCAAAACGGTCTACTTGCCCGATCCTGTGGCTCCCTCAGAGTCATAGAGGAAGGAGGTTAAGCTGACAGAAAACATGCCTGATCAGTTACCATTAAAGGTGTGGTGACATTTACAGTTGCTCAGAGAACTTCCACAGGCAAAATCCAGTCATTTAAATAGGAATCTGTATGTTTGGGAGTTTTGCATGAGGGAGAAAAACTAATGTGAACGTGTTATGTGTGAAAGTATGCCGCTTGGACGGAGTAGATGGGACGCAACTGATTTTTCCATCATGAGTGCCAATAAATGGTCTCACTGTAAATAAATTGACTCTTTGTATTTCTTTTTCATTTAACTTCAAAAGATGCAATATCGCACTGTGGAAAACTCCATGAAAGAAAACACAATAAGCCTAATTTTCCAAATGTGAGTTTTAATTGAGATCAGATTTAATTGAGAAGAGGCTAACGGGTACTTCAGCACAAATTATGAGTTTTATTATTGTTGATGCACATTACAGGTCTATACATTTAGAAAATGACACCTATTGAAAAAACAGTATTATCATTCGTCATCCTTTGATTAACGAAGCGACTATTTGGCCACCAGTGAATTATTTAAACTGCTTGATGATTTAAATATTTGTTTGTGTTGGCTTTTTTTTTTCCCAATTATTCATTTATTTGCAAAGTCTTTGGTTTGAGTCCTTGGAGTGATATATAGTAAATTCTGGTAAATTGGTCCTTTTTGACAGTTATATATCAGTGTTAAAAAGTGACCCAAGTACCTAAATTCAAAACTGCTGATATTCTACAGTTTGGGTTGACAGACAATACAATTTTGCGTTGAATTGTGGCTTTATAAGGCAATATGAAAACCGCAGAAACTGTGTCAGTGTGTGTATGGTGACATCCACATTACTTGAGCTGACATTGTCAGAGATACGTCAACAGATCGGTTAGACTAACATGGGTGTGACATTTGCCTTAGCTTGTTTGTTAAAGGAACACGCTGACTTTTTGGGACTTTAGCTTATTCACTGTATTCCGAGTTAGATAAGTCCATACATACCTTTTTCATCTCTGTGTGTGCTGTAACTCTGTCTGACGCACCCACCGCTAGCTTAGCTTAGCACAAAGACTGGATGTAAATGGCTCCAGCTAGCATACTAATCTCAATAAGTGACAAAATAACGTAAACATTTTCCTTTTTACATGTTGTGATTTGTATTGTCACAGAGTGTACAAATAACAAGGTCATATGAGACGGACATCTTTTAACCGTATAAATACTGGGAACTATGTTCTCAGAAGGCGAAGCACTGCTACTTGGGCGGTGTGATTACAGCAGCACCTGCGACGCACCGTGGTGAGGAGCAGAGAGTTTGTTCAGAGTTGGAGTAATTACTAGATCGTAAAAGCATAGTTTAGAATCATGGGTGTTCGCTGTATTGTAAAGAGCTGCGACAATAAACGGGAGACCAGGTAATACCACGATGTTTATCTAACTCTGGGGGATACGTAGCCTAGAAATCTAGATGCAACAATTTTTTTGCAGCCAGTGTGATCCAGCAACTCTCCGTTGGCTTTCGAAGTGGAAAACCAAACTCTGGTCAGGCCAGTCATATCGTGTATAGAGTTGGTGGGTGGGCTTAACACAATGACGGCAGAGTTGTGACGATTCTGCGTCGTGATTTCCGTAGTTGATTTCCCTGCTACTTAAAAACAAACAAGATGCTGCTGGCGAACAGCGGTCTTTCGATTCGGCTGGCCGCGACTCTGAATGACTTGTAGTTAGGAGAACATCAAGTTAAGAGAACGCATGGGATTTACTCAGACACAGCCGTTCGTTGCTCTGGTTGGTTGTAGTGCTATCCTATTGCATGCAGAGGGATATTAAAAGACAACCATTTGTCCCACCCCTTGGATTGAGGTATGCCAATTGACCTATGGCTAAGCCACGCCCCCTCCACTCAGTCGGACCAGAGAATGTCTAATTGAAGAGAATTGGCACTGGCTGGTTACCTCTGGTTTCTGGACTGGTTGCAGTAACATGTCTCTGTCCATGTGGGGGCGCTCGCGGTCAAGTGCAGAATGAATGGGAGTCTATGGGGTTTCACCCCCAGAAATCCACTTTTCTCAGGATGTAATTTTTTGTCAAGTAATTTTATAGTTGCATTCAAAAGGGAGGGCTAAGATAATACACTCGGCTGAAAATTGCATTTTTAAGTTCACTTATCTGTTCTAAAAATCCGTTCAAAAATGTGATGACGTCACACAATAGCAGAATGCTAGCGTGTTCCGGCCAACAACGGCCAAACCTGAGAAATCGAAAGGACATAAGTACTCGTTCTTTCTACTTTTGGCCTATGATCTATATAGAACTTGTGGAATCAACAATAAAATCCATGTTGATTCAACGACAAGCAGGAGAAAGAGAAACATTTAGCCGTTTAGCTCTATAGACACCCATTCATTCTGCACTCGCCCGTGATCACCTCTAGTGGAATTCTAATGGAACTGCAACCAAGATGATACACAATGGGGCTAATAATAGGAAGTGCCAAGGCTCTCCGTTAGACGGGCTCTGGTCGGCCAGTCAACATTTGGGAACAGGCACTTTGGCAGCTGTCACAGTAGAAACATTTCACAGGAGGCAATTGGTAATTTTTGGGGTTAGCGCACTGTGATTGGCTCATCGTGTTTGAGGGCGTGGCTTAGGTCATTGTGAGTTCCCAGACCTAACATCTTAATGTAGGGTATAAAAAGTATAAAACTTTAATTTTAAACTTTTCAAGTATGAAACTTTTCTTCTTCTTCTTTATTTTTTTTAAGACTTTTCCATCTACAAAGGTTATCAAATAGTAGTGCTCAACTGATGAGTTGGCACTTTTTGTAAACTATGATAAGTAAATTACTATTCTTGCAAGGGAAAGAAGGCTGAAAAGATGGCGAGCGATTGACAAAGATAAGAAGGAAATGATACACAGGAAGAGGGGAGTGTTTTCTAGTAGACCACAAGTGCAATGTAGATGTTGCAAAGGAAGCACCATGTAACTCATTACAGTTCAGATATCTTTCTTCAGTAGACTAGATTTCAAATGTTTTAGAAATAGTCCCTCGTGAACTATTTAAATATACACATGCATATTTATGTGTAGCCTACAGTATATTGTAGGGCAGGCTATTGATTTCAGTTCAATGTACGGTTATTTATAGCCTTTTCACAATAAATAACGTTTCAAATCAGCTATAAAGAAAAGGTCAAGGCTGGAAACAGCGTGGAAATAAATATGTAGGCTATATATAGAGTAAATGAGTGTATATTGTGAAAATCGATCGCCATTTTTCATATATGAAAGCATCTCGCTCTGTCTCTACAGGAATTGATCAACAGTGTCCTCTGCTGGACAAACGAGGCTTGTTCGGTAAAGACATTTAATTAGATCAGCCTAGTGCAGTCATTATATTTTAATAACATGGTTGTAATGTATTCACTAGTTTATTTATTAGTTATCTGTAATTACATAAGCGTATAATCAAATAATGATATATGCATTAAATAAATCATTTATTATGTACAGATATGAACAATTTCAATCTAATTAACAACATTAATGCTAATGGCAAAGCAATATTTACAAGATGGACATGCTGTTAAGACTATAATTATAGTTTTATAAATGTGTTTCAGTCAAATGGAAAATACACAGGAAAAAATATACAAAATAGTGACTGAAAACGTAATTACCCTTTTAAATGTAGCTTAATTTAAATGTTTTTCATTGAAAAATTTAAACATTACTAGAAACAAATACTACAGGTAACAGGTGACTGAACAAACCTTTTCAAGTTCAGAGTTAGGCTATGGCTTTTTTTACAGTATTTTACCAATACAAGAAACTGCGATCATTCCAAGATTTCTCACAAGCTTTAAATAAATAGGAAAATATTTTTTGACGTAACGCCTGAGCACAACACTGCTGTTTGAGTGAACCCTGAGGCTGCATATGTAGCAGCGGTGACCTTTGTGTGGTGAGAGCGAGGCCTGACAATCAGCACCCTTAGAACCTCATTCATCTTTTCCGTTAGTCCAGTGTACCCATGAACGTCCCATTGCCTAATGTTGGTACTTCAGTCTATGTGCAACTGTTTAGAAAGATCAGATCTCCTCAGTTCATAATCTGTCAGCTGTTTAATCGCGTTGCTCGGTGTGGCTGATGATCTTCTTCTTGCGTGCAGATACCAGGTCATAGAAAGGGTCTTTTGTGATACAAGCTCTAAGAACAAGAGAGGAAACGGTTAGACTCAGAGACCTTTTCTTTCTCAGTTCCTCTTGCAAAGTGTATCTAAATGCTTTTTTAATTATTTTATTGTTACTGTATGTCTAAGTGTGTGCAAATTTCTAAACATACCTAACTTCCTCTTTCCCATGACTTTCCAACATCTCATTGTTGCACTCATAAAAAGACATTTGTTCACACAAATCTTTTACAAGGACTGACAGCTGATAAAATGTGATCCACTTGTGTTGTAAATATCTTCAGTCTACATCATATTCCTCTCTCATATTCCTTCCTCCTATCTTCATTTTTTACAATTATTATTTTAAAGGACTTGAATTACCACTATGAATGAAATATGCTATATAAATACACAAACGTTATCTAAATCGGTTGCTATAATAATGATGTAAGCATTAGTGCAGTCGAAAAACAGGTAAAAAAAAAATGGACATTTTGCCTCTGCTCTTTTCAAAGAGGTCTAAAACCATTGGCTCGTTCACTCATCAGTCAATATTCACTGAATGTCACATAGTGTGTTATATGATGAAAGAGACTTAAACTTAAGAAAGTATTGCATTTGGTTTGATGTTACATATGAGTGCTGTCCTAAATTATGAGAAAATACTTTGAATCCTACTTAAAAATATAAAAAGGCCTATTTCGAACCTCATGTCGGTGTGGTTTGAATTGCATTTGTAAACACTGGATATATCTTGTATTTCTTTTACTATGCAAACTAGGGTTGCGTGTGCCATTCAGAAATTCTTCATGTTTATACTATCTGCTTATTTTTAATTGTTCACTTCATACTGTGCTGTCTGGTACCTGATGGCCTGGATCCAGTCTGTACGTTCCTCTTCAGATGCAGCACGGAGTCTGTAGGAGTGATGTTTGCCCATCACAACTCTCCCATCTGTCTCTGTTTTACATGCCTTTATCGTCTCTCCTTTGCGATGAGGGCAAAACAACTCTAAACAGAACTGAACACACACGGTAAAATAGTAAATGCGTATGCCGTCATTTTCAAAAGGTTACATTCCATGGTTACAAGAGGATGCTACATCACAAACATTTAAATGCCGCTTGGTATTACGAGATGCTGACTCAGATAAAAACAGAACAGAAAAATAGAAACCAGGATCTGGGCAGAGTTTGATTAAAGAAAATCTAGACTGTGCTTGCAAAGGGACAGTTATCACTTGGTGACTAAAAGAACTATAAAGCAACAACAGGGGCCTATAGAGAAACACACTATCTACTGGGTCAGTGATGATTGATGAGGTACTGATGATAATTTATGAGGATAATTGAAAAGTACCCGTTTGTGTCCGTCCTCCACCTCGTTCACACATAAGTTCTCAAGGGGAATGATGCCTTTTGGTTCTTGGTCCTAAGGAGGGGAAAATTGCCTTTTAATTATTTAATTATCAATATTCTTATTCAGCTTGGGGGAAAAAAAACTAATTTAATGTGTTTTATATTTGCGAACTTGACATTTTTGTAAAGGTAGTACTTACAGTGGTGTATTGGAAATAGTAAAGGCAGCTATCAGTCAAAATGAACCACCTCCTCTTCCAGGTCTTTATTCTGCCACCTATGGATTAACCAGAATTGTCACTAACATTCAGAAACATCAAGATGATCAGAAAGAACAGTCCTCTAATCTGATTGGCCAGGCTGCATTGGGCTGTTTCACAGCTTGTAATGCTGCTTGATGAAACAAATTATAGGGATGGAACTAATGATGTACAATGCAAACATAGGTTTATTATAATAGGGATGAAGCTGCCATGTCATCATTTTATTAACTATATTAAATAAGTATTAGCTGTACGAAAGAGTAACAAACCTTCTTTTAGAAGCCAGCCCTCTCGATCAGGATTGAAGAACGTGTGCGTGAGATCATTGCCGTCATCTTCTGGGATCTTAAAGGGTTCGTTCTTAATGCTCTCATAAAGTTTCTACATAATGTTTCCATAAAGAGAGATTATCAACACTTGATCATCACAAATTCATGACATAGATATACAAAACTAATTTTCCTTTGAAATAAATAATATTAATATAATTAAGTTCTTTACAAATGACATTTCTACATTCATGCATTTAGCAGATGCTTTTATCCAAGGCGACTTACAAACGTATTACTATTTATTACTATTGTATTACTTATTACTATTGTATCACTTTATTACTGTATTACTATTTATTTGAGAAAAAAAAAATTAAAGCAATAATATTGTGAAAATAACTGTTTTCTATTTTTAACTAAATGTAATTTGCTGCTCAAGAAACATTTCTTCTTATTGTGCATTTCCAAAACCGATAAAAAAACTGCATTTATGTGAAATGGAAATCTTTTGTAACATTATAAATGGTTTTACTGTCTCTTGCTTGGATCAATTTAATGCATCCGTGCTGAACAAAAAAAAAAATTAAATGGTAGTCTCTGAATGAAAAACCCGTGGATTATAAAATACAGTAGATGCGAGTGTTTGGTCTGGTAAAGCTGTGATTTGAGGGAAAATGTGACCCTGTGACCTCTCTCACCTCGAGTAGTTCATAGGGAAGATCTCCTCCATTGTTAATTCCTCTGTTCATGATGATGAAACGTTCTAGTGTGGTCTTGTCTTTCACATTGGGGTTGTGCAAACTTGTGTTGAGCATGATGATAGCGAAGGAAAGGATGTAACAGGTGTCTGCAACACACACACACACACACACACACACACACACACACATATATATATAAGCCTTTTCAAATGTATACATGAAAGCAGTAAACTAGTTTTACTTCAGGACCCAGATTATAATGCCCCTGTTCAATCACCTCCCTTTTTGAGTGGCAGATCTAAACTTAAATGGATGTAAGTAATTCATGAATGCTTTGGAATACAGACCTAAGGTTGGTCTCTTTTCAAGAGGATTATTGCAGAAGTGAGAGAAAAATATGAAAAGTATCAAAAACTTATAGAAGATTACTGTAAATCAAATATACTGAATATTCTAAAATTGCAAGAAAATAAAAGCCATAAATATATTCAAGTTGTGTTTCAAATTTAGAAGTTGATACAATTTCCAAATGGTTTTTCAGGATGAATTTTGAGTGTTCACGCGTTTGAATGAAACCTAATTTTTTATGATTACAAAAATATGTGATAGGAAAAAATAAAGAAAAGCAAGTGGAAAAGAAAAGCCCCTAGAGGGACACTACCAGTTAACAGGATTAGTCAAACGCTGACATGTATTAATATTACCGTGAACTGCATAGGCCCAACTATATGCTGAATTATTAGCAATAATGAAAAAAGCGCATTTTGGTTTCTAAATGTTTCTTAAATTTCAACATGACATCATGACTTTTGCGTAAACATACATGCCACTTTGGAGTCAAGTGGCGTGTTATCTCTACGCATTTTGAGCTATCCGAGTGTATCCGCGTGTATGCATGTATGTCTACGCCATTAACGTCCGAGTGATTCCGCGTGTCTGTACATGCCGTCAAATGTCCACGCGAAACTAACCAAAATGTAGATGTACATCTGGGGAGCGATCTTTTTTTTTTTCCTAGGATGGTAAGGGAACAGTTATAAATGCCATTAACCCCAGTGACGGTTAAGTTTAGGGATGGGGTTGAGGTAAGTCATATCTTTTTTTTTTCCTAAGATGCTAAGGGAACAGTTATAAATGCCATTAACCCCAGTGACTTGTTAGGTTTAGGGACGGGGTTGAGGTAAGTCATATATTTATATACACAGTAATCAACGGCGTTCATAAACACGCTGAAAAGTGATTATGCGTCTTGATAGCACGCCAAAAATGGAAATACGAATTGGCGTGTCATACACACGCTACTTCATGAGATCAGTCTGTAAATTTTGATGTTTTCATTATCTTGGCAGTGAAACATGAAACCTATCGTCTAAATGAAGAGGCAAACAACCTGTGGACTGAAAAACCCCAGCGTTACAGGTGCAGTAGCGCAGAGCGAAGGCCTCCATCATGCGGTCGATCTTCTGAGCTTCACCAGGTAGACGGAAACTCCACAAGAACTGCCTATGTCCACAATCAAACAATCACAGATTCCCCCCAAATTGACAAAATCAGTATTTGTATATGTTACAATGATACAAAAATATTAAACAGCAAAATGAGGATCTCCTCTCACCTCAAAGCCTGAACTAGATTAAGATTTGAGAACTCGTGAAGGTGAACAAAAGCCTGCAAGATCTGAAGGTGGATCTCCTCCCTGTGGATGCAAGAAGGAAATATAACTTCCCATATCAGAACCACACGCTGTACTCACCGCAAAAATATAACCATCATCATACCTTTCTCCTAAGAAATCACCAATAGCTGTTTTATTGAGGCCTTCCTCTTTGTAAAGGAACTCAGCCACAGCCTCTGGAATCCACTCCAACAGGTCATTATCCACCAGGTACTGGATACCCTGAAAATGACGCAGTTAAGCTCAATGAAATGATGCCGATTTTATACCTCAGACCACTGGCACCACTGTTCTCAAACATTCATTAAGAAACAGGATATAAGATACGGATCTTGATGCATGATTGGCCATTGCAAGACTTTATTCACAGAATCTTTGATTTTAAAGAGAATGAAAGCGAGGCTGTGAGGGATAAACATGCATCTCTTCAGTGGGTTGTACTGTTATTTAATGTGTTTTTGGATTGTTCTGCTGACGAAATACTGCAAAAATATCTTTCCAATAAATTTAGTAGACAAATAACTCCAGACAGCATGAGCTGTAGAAAATTATTAGTGATTTAGGAGCTTTTTACAGCGGATGAAAACTGCTCTGAATAAGGTCTAGGTATATCAATTGCATTATTCAACCTTTTATTCGTGAGATCTTTTATTGGTAAGTTTCAAATGATTGGGGGGGAAATTGCTTTGGTGAAAAGATCAAAACTGTTTGTCATTTTTAACATACTGACCATGCATACGAGCTACTCGGAAAATGCAGTGTGGCTTCATCTCACTTGTTCTACAGAAAACACAGGATGTGGTTCTATCTTTCTTTCTCTGTCACTCCACACCCCCTCTTCCTCTAACCTAGTTTAGCTAAATCTGCTTCTACCCTACATGTATCAAGCTGTTTCACTCCATGCAACTCAAATGATTCATTCTTCATACCTTCTTTGGGTCCATGTTAAACTTCTTTTTTCCACACTGGATTCTCTTGTTCTTCATAACATTTTTACTAGAGGAGAATTAAAAAAAAAAATGGCAATATTGTGACAAAAATGAAATACTGTACATTCTCTGTTCCACAAAATGTTTCGAGCCTGACTATGACAATAGAATGTTGATTCGGCTAAATCATGATGCAAGTGTGTAGTTGTTGTTGCATATAACCTGTCTAACGTTTTCTGTGGCTTAGCATGTCCAAATATAAAGTTAACAATGTCTAGAGCCAAAGCTCTTCTCGTAAATTTGATACCAAGAAACAGGAAACACTCATCGATGGTATGTGAAAAACCAAACCTGTAAATGTTAACATTCATGGTTTTTAATTCTGCAGCTTCTAGTGCACATACAAAGTGTTTTGCATAAACACGTGGTATATTGTCAAACTAAAAGACTCAAATCACCTTTTCCTGACTCTGGAATTGCAAGGTTAAGTTTGAGCCCCGAATTGATAATATGAGTTACATGTTTGGCTCTAGAAGTTTACATACTATCAATTTGTGATCAGTTTTAGGAGAAATTTTGATGCACGTGGATTCATACTGCTATGAGGAAAGATGTGGTTTTATTTTATTTGACATTATAACTTTAATCTAAACAACCATACCATAAACCCAAGCTGAGTGATAGTGGTGAATACTCACTTCTCATCATCGGCCTCCATCGTTTGAATTTCTGTCATCATGCTTTCAATCTCCAGCCTTAGTTTCTGAAAGGGTGAAGACATTGCTTTGTCAACACAAAAACCTAACTCCTATCATTTTCTTCACAAAGTTTTGCATGACATTTTTCTTTAGCACATATACTACTTGTATTAATGTGCTTAAAAGACTTTGTTATATATGAGACTCTCAATAATCATGATATGCAGAAAGTCATTATAAAGCCAATACCTGAATATCATCTAGAATCGCATGCTTGTGGACATCAGATTGCTTCTTGTCATTTGTATTGAAAGCTAAAGGTGCTGAAGATGAAATGGGAGCACAAATAGATCAACAGTTAGCAACAGGCTCACATCAGATCCTGGATCTCACACTCATGCAGAAGAGGAATAGCACAGAAAGAAATTGCAAACACCGCCTAAATGTATCAGCTAAATATAACACTGCTACTTCTGTTTTGGAGAACTGCCCTACATAGGATGTATTTTGCTCGGTTACTGGTTGCATTTACACATATTTACTGACTGTGCCCTGTGGGACAGTATATGATACTATTGAATCAATAAGTCATTTTAAAGATCTCTTCAAGTAACACACACACAGGTTGCTATAGAGAATCCCTAGATCCTTCAATGTTATATCCTTAATTTTAACACTAATAATACTGCTGGTACTTTAATATCATACACATACTGTAGGCCTTTACATAATGTCCAGTGATCAACAGGTATCCCACTACAGGTGCACTGGAACATTTTCACAGAAATTGCACAGCAGTCTCAGACCTTAAGAAAATGATTAAAGAAGAACATACCTTTCCCCCAGAGGAAGCTGTCCTTTCTTTGGGTTCCCATGCTAGCTGTGCTGCAGGGGGACTGCAGTAAAACAGGAAGATCAGTCTCAAGTCAGTGCACAGAGTAGACACACATTGCATATCACGAAAAATGTCAAATCTCGAAGTGCTGCTCTTACTGTATTTGATAACAGACTGTATAACTAAAACAACGAGAAGTGTTATAATAATGTCTTGATGATGTCAGTTTTCCAGGATACACATTTTATTATATTTTTTGGCTAATAAGTTGAAAATATAATAACGTTCATTACAGCAACAGCCTAACTGCCGGAAAAATCTATGTGACAAAAGACAAAAATAACATTTAGTAAAGATATAATATGTGTGATGTTGTGGCGCTCTGATGATGTAAAACTTCTTTCTTATAGCCAAAGGAAATCAATTAGGCAAAGTAACGATTAAATGGATGTAAAACTAAGTTTTGTCAAAAGCAAAAAAGTAGTGAAAACGCATAGCTACCTTCATATGTGCAACTCAGTGTACAAGGACTCGCTGTCGTACAGAACGAATGTAAACGATGAACAAGTGCTGAGTTCTTGCGAGAGGAGGGTGACGTCACACGACAATGAATGGCAGCTGAGTTCTGAGAACTTATTTCCTCAGCATGTCTTCTGCAAAAATGTGAATAAGATTTGATCACAATTTAGTTCAGAGAACTCACTGACATACACGTGTGACTTCGCATTAGCCACTGCCATTCCCCTCACAGTTTTTTTTTTTTTTTTTTGAAAACCCAACAAAATAGGCTATAGCCTAAATATTTAAATGATAATACCTAAATTATAATATATATAATAATAATGATATTTATAATAAATAGTCAAATCGTTTTATACTGTATTTGTATACTATCTTTTTATAAATTAATGTTTTATAGACTCGGTTACGATGTCTGGTTCCGTGTAAAATGTATAGGACATATTTTGTTATAGGTTAATACTGATACGACTGGAAACTACATCACGTGTGCACATTAATTATGCTTTGACCTATGGCTAAAACTTTTATGGCTAAAAAAAAGTGTAGCATACCTTTAAAGAAAGACGGAGAGACGTTTCAATGATGATTCGACATCGCCCTCTCGTGGACTGTAATGCGCATCACGAACTGATTTGTACATGTCTTTCACTTAAAAGTTAAATACTTCCTCGTATCAGATACGTCCAAAACTGTCACAACCACATGAGCGAGTGTACAGATTAGAGAGAGAGAGAGAGAGAGAGAGAGCGAGAGAGCGAATTGACACACTGAAGAAGCAAATCTATTTCCTGTATTATAACTTAGTTCCTTAACAGTTGTTTTACAGCGGCAGCTGGCAAAAGTTTCTCACAAGTATCGGAAAATGCAAGCAATCAAGTGTGTGGTAGTCGGAGATGGGTGAGTGAAGAAAGCTATTACATGGATTTATTTGCCAAATCTGATTTTCACCATTTACCATGAAAAGTTGCTTGTAAACATTAAAATGGTTTATAATTTCTTGTTTATTGATATGAAAATGGCTTGATGGCGTTTATGATAGTTTTCAAGGGCACTGCTTATAATCTTCTAGTAGTCTTATAAAGCACTTATTTAATCTGCTTCGTCTGTTGGTTGGATTTAATTTCCTCATTTGTCACGTGAGATACTTTGTATTTTATAGCCTCGGGCTTCGTTAGTTGCTGAACCTATAGTTCATGCTTAAATGCACAATTCATATTTCTAAAATTTATTCTCAAATAAGGATATAAAATAACCTACCTACAGGTTACTTATGCTACTACAGTTGTGTTGGCTAAAAGCACTAAGATGAGCAATATTGGGCTGACAGTCAGATTGGGGGTCTCAGAGATATTTCAATCTTTGAACATTCACGGGCAAATTAATAGCTACAATGTGGTGCAGGAGGTTATGTAACACATAATACCTGATTTAAAAAAATTAAAACAGCATTTGCACTTAAGTCACGTTCCTCTGGATGTTTTTATAGTTTATTTTGTGAGTGACAAGATCATGAAGAATGTTATGAAATCATATGGCCTAAACCAGTGGTTAAGAGATACTTAAGAAGGGTCCAGGGTAAGATTTAGATTTTGCTTTAATAGATTAAAATCAGTTTGGGAGGTCATTAATAAAATAAATAATTACAATTAATATGAACCAAATGAGTTAAAATGAACCAATTTCTAATGTTGTTGAAGCCATTAGATGTTGTCTAATGTTGTTGAAGCCATATTTGAACCTTATGATGGGCCAGTTGTGGTACAGAAGTAAAAAAAAAAAAAAAAACGTTAGGAAATGTTTGCTTACACAATTGGGCACTTCATCAGGCTGTACAGTAAATATGTGGACTCTTTCTAGTAGACCAAGCATGTTTTCCATGAAGCTTGCATCATAACTGTGCAAGGAACACAAGTATCTATTCTTTCATGCTACGACGAGTGTGGTCATAAAAAGTAGTGCAGTCAAACTACGGCATCTTTTATGATGACTGATTTTTATTTTGACTGAATGACAGATACGGACATTCTCCTTTATTCCTTTAGACGAAACATGTCAAGCTTGTTGTTTGCTTTCTGTTAAACACTGACAAACTTGTTGTAGCTGACCTACAGACACTCATGATTCAAGATGGAGGATGAGATGGCTCTGATTTCGAACCATGCAAGACTGAAGCTGGTTTTCAAAAAGAGGGGTGGCAATTTTCATAGGAACATATATATGAGGTTTTGATTTGCCACATCACTTTATCTCATCTACTGTATATAATGCAGTGAGACAGATCAATGCTGATGTAGGCATTTTACAGATCTGGAGGCAGAGCAGAATGCTGCTGCTGATGCAGTTATTATTGGGGATGTAGGTTTAAAGTGTTGAAATGTTGTAATTCATGAATGACAGTATCAAAATGAACTGTTAGTGCATTGCTTTCTGGTCATGTTCAGTGGAACATCTAACATGGCAAATGGCAGCAGGGAGAGGTGCTTTCGCTATGAGGATATCCTGTTTAAACTCTGTGCACGGTTCTCCATTTTGAAGCTGTTAACTTCCTCTTGCATTTGATGCTGTGACCCAGCTGCTTAAGTTCCTCGTATTGCTTAAAGATGAACTGGCTGAGAATTCCTCATTTTACAGCTTAAGAGGGGGGGAGGGGGGATGTCTAAAAATGATAATTCTGTCACTTTTTGCGCAATAAAAAATTTGTAGAATCTTCGTATTTACAGTAGATCTTTTTCATACAATGACAATTTGAAGTTACCACAAACTGTTCAGCTGCAACAAGGACGAAAAAAAGCACCCTTTAAAACCACAGACAAGTCCAAAGTAATGTGGACTAATATATGGTTTTAAATGGTACGTGTTTTTTCTTTTTTTTTCACTTTGGACTGTACTACATTTGCCCACATTATATTTGGATATGAGACTGCAGAACCAATGACACACAATGTTATATTTGGTTTGAGAGCTGCTGCGGAGGTGAATATTATCAGAGATTACTTATTTCTCTTTTCACGGGATCCATTTGGGTAGGGCTGGATGGGAAAGACTGTTTAGAGCATATATGTAGCACACATGTGCAGTTTATGTTACTGTATTTGTGAGTGGTGACATTTTTTTTCGCTTGTGTATATGGTTTTGAATTTGAAATGAAGAAAAAGTTCATCCCAAAAAGAGATAACTTAAATCTGTTTTTTTTTTCCTCACAAAAAATATATTGACTTCTGAATACTTGAAATCTAGTGCATATAATGGACAGCCTGTGGTCACTGTGAGCTCTCATTGAATGGAAAATATTTATGTGAAGATTCCTTAAATTATTTGGTTTACTAGTCATCCTCAGCTACTATATGATAGTCATCCTCAGCTACTAAGACCTCTAGAACTTAAAGGGATAGTTCACCCCAAAATGTAGTGTAACTGCGCAGCGTTTTTAGGTTGTACGTCACACGTACGTATATCACACACATGACTAGAGTCGGCCAACAGTGAGCCTGCGTGTGACGTACAACCTAGAAGAGCTGCGCAGTTACACTACGTGAACTGTCTCGAGGCCCACAGAGAAGGAAATGTATAGTTGAATACAGTGGTTATTTGTATGTGTTTTTTTTTGCGCACAAAAATATTCCCGTCGCTTGATAAACTTCAGATTGAGCCACTGTAGTCACTTGGTCTAATTTAACGATGTCTTTAATAATTTCTTCTGGTCAGGCAAGTTTCAATCCCTTAGAAGCCTATGCAGGAATGATCCAGCTCTCAGATTTAATCAGAAATATCTTAATTTGTGTTCCGAAGACGAACGAAAGTCTTAAGGGGTTGGAACAACATGAGGATTGAGTAATTAGGGATAGAGTTTTCATTTTGGGTTGAACTAACCCTTTAAACTTAATAAGGAATTTGAATGCAGGAGATGGAAATGCAAGCTAATGCGAATTTTGCTGCTTTCCAAATTTTGGTGAACTCTAGCCTGCAAATTCGTATCATAATAAGACGTAACCAATAGGAGATTGATGTCACATTGTGATCTCTTAGCTGACTTAAAAGAACAAACATTAAAGCTGCAAATTTGTAGCATTGCTGTAATGGTGAGTAGACTTTATATTTTGTCATGCATTTACAATTATTTGGTATAAAATAATTTGAGTGTTAAAAAAGTTGAGTGTGACGCTCTATTACTGCATTTGAAGTGTCCATAAAAGTTTTGCATGCAGTCTGTGGAATCAGTCTGATTATGTAAAAAAAAAAAAAAACTTTACCAGACTCTATTGTGGACCTCATGCATGTGTGAAGGCACATCCTGTAGCACTTAGATTTTTTTCTCCCTTTTTTTGTTTGTTTTGTTTTTAACTCTGATGCTATCACATGCTGTCTGCTCCATGCTTTGAACTGTCATGACATCCGGGTGTACATTTTCTACTTTATCTGACACAGTATAGGTATGCCGTATCGACTCTCTCTTGCTCTCTGCAAAAGCCGGTGTTCTGATGATTTGTGCTACCCACTCAGATTGTGCTATCTCTCATTAAAACGGATAGGTAGCACAAATTAATAGATAAAATTGCTATCGATCAGATTGCTTTACCAGCATCATATTAATGTGGTTTGAGGCTTTTTTTTTAACGTCCCAACCTACCGTTACCCTAAACCTACCCATCCATACTTACACATTCCCTTAAAACAATGCAAATATATTGTAGCACAATCTGATACTGTAGGAAGCATGTTTCTTCAGTACACCGGCTCTGCTAAAGCACGAGGCCCTGTACTCAAAATCTGTTGCACACAAGTAGGCCTACATGTACACATTAATAGTGATCACCTTGTTGTACAGTTGTAGGAAATGCAGAAAATGCTTGGACCAAGGAGTTTAAAACAGAATGAACAAGCTAAAGCGACCATGGCCACATTTTTTGAAGTCACACTTCAAAAAGAGGCTCACTGTCTCTCTTCCTGGTTGACACCGCCCAACTTCCTGTCATCCTGTCACGACAATGCCAGGCCCCATACTGAGTTTTCTCTCGCTCTCTTTCTCTCTGTTTCTATCTATATCTGATTCACAACTTCAAAGAGCCCCAGAAAGCCCCTTTTAACGGTTATCTCCCACTGTTTTCTAATTATGTTTTCAGTGCACTGTCTCCAGTGTTCACTGGAATTTGTGTAGATTAAAATGTATTCAAGTATATGCTTAGTGATGTAAGGCATGTTTGATTTCCCTAGTGCCTGCACTCACAGACTCAGTTCTGTTAATATTGCATTATTTCGTCGTGACTTTTTCTGTTTATGATATTGAATCACACCACCCTTCAGTCAAGTGCTCACAAGTCTGGATAACTCAAATGGTGGATGGTTGTTGCCATGTGTGTACATGTGTTTTTCCATGTGCTTTTTAGAAATATCTATATTCTGTTAGAGAGCACAAGAGAGAGAAATCAAGCACAGAAGTGTGTGTAATAAAGATAGCAAATAGTTGTGATGTGACTGAACATGTTTAGCCTGAGGCGTGTGATTTTGGCCTTGCCCTTGAGTAGCTCCAGTGATTCTTGATGCGAAGGAGATGTAGCCACAAGCTCCTCAATCCCAGCATTCCTCACTTTCGCTGCCAGCATGCAGCAACATGCGCTCCACTGGAATCTGTGTCTCGTACTCTCTTATTTCAGCCCCTGTATTTATTTTGCAGCTTCAGGTGACCTGGTTTTATACCGAATGTCATCTTCAATTTTTTTTTTTTGTTTAAGCATGCACAATTGTTTGGAAGTATTTTGATTTGCTCTATGGTCTGTTGTCACAGATGATCTGACTGTGGAAGCAGGTTTTTTTCTAGGTGTTTGAAAGGATATCTGAGTATACAAAATTATTTTGAAGGTAATCTTCTGTTGTGCTTCTATTATAATTACACGCATACACACACACACACACACAAAAAATACTTTTTTGCCCTTCACAGGAGTGAAATATATCGGAAAAGGGCTGTTTAAAAAATGAGGAAAGGTAAACAAAAAAAGTGTAGCACTGCACAGAACACTTAGGCCTTTATTAAATAGGCCATATACACTACACCACTTTGAACGTCGTCGTATTGCAGTTCTTTTCACACTAGACAACTGTCTGTTGTTGTCGATGTCAGTTCCAGTCAAAACATTTCACACTACTTGGATTGACTTGGATTGCAGATAGGTCTGGATATTTATCACTCATGTTTGAATTATCAATGAGGTGAGCCCCGGTGTGTCGAGTTAATTAGCAGGTATCTAGACCTGTTTTCGGTTCACTTAGTGTGAAATACCTTTAAATATCTTTCAGCATCAGCGCTTCGATCTGAACGGATCTTTGATAATTGAAACATAGCAATCGTTACTCGTGAATGAGCACCGATCTGCCTCTGATTTTGAGCTTTTATCAGCGATGTCTATACTGTCAGTGAGCAGAAAATCAGTGCTAAAATCCCATATAGTGTGGGCGACATAAGAGGCTTCAATAATGCTGCTGACAAATTATACACTGCTAAACTTTACATAAATTGTAAACTTGTACCTCAAATCTGATTGGTTGAATCGAATGTTCTTCCAGGTCAAACATTTCGATCCAGGAACATGTTGTACTTGGCTAAATCATGTTCACCATTTTTTTGATTAAAATATCAAGGTCACATGAATTTTGCGCACGGATAAATTATTTATATTAATACTGCAATATTCCATAAAACAAGATTTGTCAACTTTGTTGAAGTTGTATTTAACAACACTTGCTTCATGAGGGAAATGCTGAACAAGCGGCCACTGCATAGTGGTAAAAGACTTCTGCACGTATTTAAAGGTGCCAAAATTGAGGTTAAAATATCCCAAAAATGAGCTACACGCATCAAAAGAATGAGAAGAAATAAGGTTGATGATGTCATTAAAAAAATGACAAGTTATAGTGCTGCCGAGATATTAACCTGAATTAGCATGCTAAATTACTAGCCCCGGCCCGGCAGGTGTCGTAATAGACCAACGCCACTTTTGCGTCATCGAAGGGTAACGCCCCCTTTTGGGGGAAAACACCTCTATACTGTCAATGGGAAAACAAACGGATTCCCATGAGAACAGAACTCGCACTAGATCTGCAAAGTTTCTTGATAGCAAAAATGGCACAAACTTAAAGAAGCTAACGTTACTGAATACGGGGTTACAGAGGTTTCCCTTTGAAATGGTCGAAAACTGGATTAATGACCCCACACAGCGGCCAAATATGGACTATTCAGACATCTAACGTTACCACTATCTCGTGGAATCACCAAGTAAGTAGCCTTTTTTATTTATTTATCATTTACACACTCACAGTAGCCTATTACAAACTACTAGACGATGAGGCCATGTCACTTGGATCATATTTAACTTGATTTAAGCTATTGACAGTTTTGTTGTCGACTAGCTATTAGAAAGACTAGCTGTTAGCAGCTAACGTTACCTTATTAGACTATGTCAATAGCTTAAATCTAGTTAAATATGATCCATTCATCGTCTAGTTTGTCATACTGTGAGTGTTAATGAAAAAAAAGGCTACTTACTTGGTGATTCCACGAGATAGTGGTAACGTTAGATGTCTGAATAGTCCATATTTGGCCGCTGTGTGGGGTCATTAATCCAGTTTTCGACCATTTCAAAGGGACACCTCTGTAACCCCGTATTCAGTAACGTTAGCTTCTATAAGTTTGTGCCATTTTTGCTATCAAGAAACTTTGCAGATCTAGTGCGAGTTCTGTTCTCATGGGAATCCGTTTGTTTTCCCATAGACAGTATAGAGGTGTTTTCCCCCAAAAGGGGGCGTTACCCTTCGATGACGCAAAAGTAGCGTTGGTCTATACCAGTTTCGGCCATGGGAGGCGGTATGCGGGCAGGCAACATTACCACCAGCCAAACTGCAATAGACGAGAGTAAGTCGGCGGCTTGTGTGTACTTGAACCTGATGTCAGTCGTGTGGAAAATACAGCCCACTACTACATTTCAGTTCAGGGAAGAGTTAAAAAAATGATTGGTCAATATTATGCATGAGGAATACAATTTGGTAAGTTGTAACATACTGTATCTTTCAACAGTGTTCGTGTTCTTTTACCATGAGCTAGTAGAGATGATCGGTTCACGTGCGTTAGGGATCTGTCGTGTAAAGCGCCAAAACTGTATTTATTGTTTGAATTGCGTAATAAAATTAACAGAACCTAAGAGCTCACATCGGTCTCCGTGTCCTTTTCTGTGGCGTGAGAGTGTGTGAAAAGTGTTGTGAGAGTTGGCAGCTCTGAAAGACGCTAGCTTGGTCCACATCAGGGAATGCTGTCTGTCAAATTAATTAAAACTAATGATAAAAATATAATATGAACAAAACGAATATCATAAAACTAGAAATAATAGCCTGGGCTTTAATTTTCCCATATCGTCGAAATGCACCGACTTGTCTATGAGACGGCCTTTATAATTTAGTATTGAGATGTTGTTCATTTAGTCTCTAATCTGTAAAAATCTTCAAATGCTCCACGTGAAACTGCGGTCCTCCAACCTTTTACTATCGTGTCAATTGATTTGATTAATATGCACGAGGGAGACAGCAACACAGCGCTCGCCCCTGTTGTTTGAAGACATGAGAGTGCGCGAGGCCGTGGAGGTATTTCTGGAGGTATACTGCCCCCATCTGTTATGGAATATGTTGTATGATTTGATTTTAAATGCCAGAGGGCACCTTTAAATAGAAAAACTATTAAAAACCAGTGCATGCAAAAAAACTTGTCCTGTGTGAACCAGTCATGAGATAGTTTAGCTTTGAGCGATAAAAAGCAATAGTCTAGACAAAGTGGATACAGAATCTCTCCTTTCATGTATTGCATTGCTGTAAGCGGTTAGGATTTAAACATTCAATGCCTAGTTCTTGAAAAAGGAGTGCATACAGTGTTCTTTGTATTTGAAAACAAATGTGTGAATTCACTATGGAAGTGCTGTACACCTGTTCCTCTTGTTAAATGATGGTTACATCAGATATCTAGTGTACTTTGAAGTCATTTTAGCAGCATGTTTTTTTTTTTACTGAAAGTACTAAAAGTACATTATATTGTTTGTTTTCCAGCAATCTTACAGATTTCTTTTTGCGTTGTTGTTTGTATTCTTCAGAGCTGTGGGAAAGACCTGTCTTCTCATCAGCTACACTACCAATGCTTTCCCTGGGGAGTACATTCCCACAGTGTGAGTACCACAACAATAGTGGAGGATTGAATTGTTTATATTTTTATGTTGAACTTGACACTCATGGTGAAATATTGAGAGATTCTGTGTGTTGGCTATTTTCACCCAGGTTTGATAACTACTCAGCAAATGTAATGGTGGATAGCAAACCCGTCAACCTGGGCCTCTGGGATACAGCCGGACAGGAAGACTACGACAGACTGCGGCCACTGTCCTACCCTCAGACGGTACACATCACCATAAACATTTAGAGGGACACGTCCCCTTAAATACTTGTAAATGTGATCAATCAATGTTGTTGGTTTTTTTCGTGACAGATTTTATACCATGGGGTCAGTAATTTTTTAAAAATATATTTTTTAAGTCTCTTCTGCTCAACTAGGCTACATTTATTTATTACAAAAAAACAGTAAAATAGCAATATTTTGTAAATTGTAATACAATAAAATAAAATAACTGTTTTCTATTAGAATACATTTAAAAATATAATGTATTCCTGTGATCAAAAGCTGAATTTTCAGCATTACTCCAGTCTTCAGTGTCACATGATCCTCCAGAAATCATTATAATATGATGATTGCTGATCAGGGAATATTTATTATTATAATTATTATCATTGTTGAAAAAACTTGTTTTTGCTTAATATTTTTTTTTTTTTAGTTTAGTTTTTTTTCAGGATTTTTTAATGAAAAATAATTGAAAAGAAAAGCATTGCTAAATTAAAGTATCACTTTCTAGTTACAACAACAACAACAACAAGATGAGACAATCCAACTGACCCCAAACTTGTGACTGGTAGAATTTGTTCAGTTTATTGATCAAAAATGTCCTCTGATGATATTTTTGCAGGATGTGTTTCTCATCTGTTTCTCTCTGGTGAGCCCAGCATCGTTTGAAAACGTCAGAGCCAAGGTAAGCCCTTACGGGTGGTTTAGTCTGGATATTAGTCACACCAGCATGAGCCTATAGACACAATCCCGCTGTAACCCACAAGAACCTGCTCCCATTCTTGCATTCTTGCCACATTCCCACATTCACATATACTATACCCTGTTGCATGCCCTTTTACACTTCTTTGATACTGCACTGGACACTAGATGCCACTGTGCATTAGTCCAAGATGTATTTTTATCAAATTTGGACTAATACCGTATAGAGATGTCCTTTTATCTGTAAAGTTATTTATCTACCTCACACTCACAACTAAGGGAGTATAAAAACAGCTGACCTTGACATGTTCTCCATTAATGCAACTGAGTGATCCCAAAAGAGAATGCTGTTTTATAAGTCAAAATGACGGTTCTGCTGAGTGTGTAATGTACAATCAGAAAATAATCTAAGTCCCAGGGGCAAAAAGAGATGATGTCATAGGCTACTGCCTGCTAACGTTCAGGTGATGTAGAACGGTTGGTGAATGGTGTCAAAGCGATCGTGGTGTTCAGTTCTTGCGTGTAATAACGAACACAGCAGTCATTTTGATGTTCCTAAATCCGAACCGCTGAAGACACAGTGACTGAATTTTACTTTCGAAGGAAATACTCCCCAAGGTCAACGTCAATGCTTTCATGTTTCCGCAAATCATTTCTCACCAGACTGCTTTATAAACGATGATCAGTATAAAGCTGGTTTTGCTAAGAAGCTGCTCCTGAAAAACAAATCATTACCAACTTTTCGTTTCCCTGCTGCACCTCCAGAAGAAGTGAGTGTAAGTTTATTAATCTTTATATTAACCTTTGCAAATTGTGAAAAAAAGTTATTCATGACCATTAACTGTAACATCAATCTGTCAATGAACTAACGGATACATCAGTAAACATATAGCGTTCGTATATCACTACTCTACCCTGGCAAGGCAAGGCAAGTTTATTTATATAGCACATTTTATACACAATGGCAATTCAAAGTGCTTTACATAGAAGGAATTAAAATAATCAAAAGAAATCAGAGTAATTAAAACAGTTTAGAATAAAAAAATATAAAAATAAAATACAGTAAATAATTAAAACAATTTAGAATCAAAATAAGTACAGTAACAGTCGGATGAACAGTGGCACAGTGCTTATTCAGTAAATGCTTAGCTAAACATGCTTAGCGCAGCCACAACACCCTCTCTATTTTTCCCCATTGCTTTTCTTGGTAAAATACCGGTGTTTCAAGTTTTGCATGCTTGCAAGGGCGGCAAAACATCTTTCCAATCGGCAAGTGCTTTAATTGCAGTTCTCTGTTCCTCTTTGAAAATGAACGCACTATCGATATCTTCTATAACAGATGCAATGACTGAATCTACACATCTGAATTCTCCAGCGTCAGCCACCTTTATTGGAAATGAATTCAACCCAAGTGTTCTTTGATGATGTGGATGATTACGTTACTGTTGATCATCTGTCCATCATCGTATAAAGCCCGCCCTGACAATTTGATTGGTCCGAACAGCTCTGGTCCAAGCATAATTGCTCCACAATGGATCGACTTGAACTTCCCGACCTCAAATGTTGTGGTTCAGCTGGCATCCAGACTAGATTTAAAGGGATAGTTCACCCAAAAATGAAAATTCTGTCATGGTTTACTCCCTCTTGTTTTTGTCTATATAATAAAAATCAATGGAGTTTTGTTTAGAATGTTGTTTAGAACCAAGTGTCAAAATCAAAATACCCAAAAATTAGATTTATGTAATTAATTACTCAGCCTCATGCTGTTCCATACTATAAGACTTTTGTTCATCTTCAGAACACAAATTAAGATTTTTAATCTGAGAGCTTTCTGATCCCTCCATAGACTGCAACGCAATGACCACTTTCAAGGGCCAGAAAAGTAGTAACGATTTTGTTAAAATAGTCCATGTGACTACAGTGGTTCAACATTAATGTTATGAATTGATGAAAGTACTTTTTGCAGACTATTTTAACGATGTCTTTTCTACCTTTCTTGGCCTCGAAAGTGGTAAGAACGTTGCAGTCTATGGAGAGGTCAGAGGGCTCTCAGATTTCATCAAAAAGACCTTTATTTTGTGTTCCAAATATGAATGGAGGTCTGACATATGAGAGTGAGTAATTAAACACAGAAATTTCATTTTTGGGTGAACCGACCCTTTAACATTGTAAATGCATTATCATGAACTAACGAACCGTTTTACAGCATTTTTAAAGTTTGATTCATGTTCAATCTAAATAATGTTTCTTTATAACAAACAATAGATTATGTCTATGGTCAGACTGCAGGCAAATTTGATTTTTTTTAATTTTTTTTATGAGCATTGTAATATAAAGCTGCATTTGTGAGACAGCAACTGATGGTGTAGACATAGAAAGAGAATTGAAAAAAATGAGATTAACATTGACAAAAGGAATCAAACAGAAAGATAGCTTTATAATATTCTACCATGCTATATTTCATTCAATAATAAATACACAAATGAGAAAGCAAAGAGGAAGCAAGTTCCTTTTCTGCTGAGTAGTTGTTGTTATTATGCCGGACCTTATCACAACCCCTGCAGCACATTTAAGGTCCTGAGATGGAACGGAAAGCAAATTGCTTGTGATATCAATAATTCCAGAACCACTTGAGGCTTAATCCGGTCCAATTTACATTGCTTAAAATCAGCGCTTGCATAAACAAGTCCACAAACAGTCCTTTGAATTGTTATTAAGTTCAAACAATGGCAATCTCATCTCGCCGGTCTCTTAATGCTTTATGCTTTCACTCCCAATCAAATGCCTTCAGAAGTCTTTCACTCTTTGCTTTTTCTACCCTCCCAGTCTTTCCTTTTATTATTTCAACAGTATATTCCTGAGTAGTAACCATGGTAACACTACCCATATGCAAATGTAGTCTTGATAGATTGTGCAAGGTTGAGGAGACAAATTAAAATCTATTTAAAGGGGAGAGGGAAGCACATAGATACACATAACGTGTGCTTACGCACCCATTCGGCAGCAATCATGGACAAGTTAAGTGCGAAAGAGATCGTTTCTCATTACTGATGCGGGCTGATAGTATGTCAAAACATGGCGCTGCAATAAGGGTTTGCTCTGACTGGATCAAAAATCGATGCTCAGAGAGCAATCATATATGCTTACAAATTCCACTGGAGACATGCTGATCCCTAACTAAGCCCACTATTTTGATTCTCTAAACCCTTTTGAAGTCTTGTATTAATATGTTTGAAGAGAGGAAACAAATTAACCTTTAGTTGCATACAAAAGCTCCAAGTGTTGAACTTCTCTAGATCAAATGTAGGACTGAAAGGGAACAGATGAACTAGTCATGAAAGCATCAAGTAGAGGTTTGCTGAATTTTTTTTAAAGATGACTTTGCTTTTAAAGTCATCTTTATTTGCACTTTAGTTCAAAGTCATTTCACTTGGCGACCATCTTTGAAATACTTCTCGGATATGCAAGTGCATCTCATTGAATGGGAAAACATCAAATTATTCATAACTCTTCACCAAGCTTACAATTACATGACCAATGAAATCTAACAACAATTATCTCATAAATGTGGTTTCTTATGTTAAAATCTTGTTTAAAAAGCGTATTTTTTTCACGCTGGACCAGCCAATGCGCATGTGCAGCCGTAAGTGTGCATGTCAGAACATTGACTGTTTCTACTCTGTAAAAAATAAAACCGTAATTTTTAAGGGAAAAAAAAAACCAGCAGCTGTGGTTTACAGAACTTTACCGTTAAAAATACGGTAGGAGCGTTAATGGTTTTACAGATCTGGCTTAAAATTTACAGTAATAAACCGTATTTCAGTTTCTGATAAAATGTTGATTTAACGTTACCAACCTTTTGAAAATTGATATCTGTTTTGTACCATTGTAATAATACACTGATAACCAACAATCATCACAGCATTGATGGATGAGAGTTACATGAGCAATCAAATCTCATCATAAGCAGCTCCTCCATAAAAAACGTTAATACGTATATAAAGAAGCTGCACAGTGTCTTTCACACAAACATTAAACACCATCATAGTAACACACATGAAATTAGAAAATGCAATAAACATTAATTTAACAACATTAAATGTAACATAAAACCCTAATGTACATAATTGATTAGAAAAAACAAGAAAACTATGAGGTACCAGATTTATTTAAATAAAAATGCATAAAATGTGAAGTGTCATGTAGGGAATTGTGGGAATGTCAATTTACGTGTTTTCACTGTAAATTATACAATGAGTTGTTCTTTTTCACTTCCAAAAACTGTGAATTTAACGGTATTTTATAGTAAAATTATATCACAGATATTTACCGTATGTAGTATGGAAACTTTCTTTTAACCAATTAACAGTTGGTTAAAAGAAACTGTAGCATTTGTACAGTCTTTTACCGTTAAAATCACGATTATTTTTTACAGTGTAAAGCATCCAGAGCTTCTGCAGTGACGTGGTGACATTACCAATCAGCGATTGACTCTTTTATTTAGAAGGCTGGACTAATTCCGCCTTCCTATTCATAGTAAAATGAGTGCACCATCTTTCTATACTGTATGTGTAAAGTCTTTAGTTTGCAGTACAGTGTCTGGTCTGCATTTGTAAAAGTACGAAATTGCTCCCAATTTTTGAACTTCAGAGCTCAAAACAGCAGTAACATCATCTACAGTATTAGCTTATAAACAGATGACTGCTTTGCCATATAAAACTTGAGTCTGGGATGGCAAGGACAAGTGGGCTGACTGTGCAAGGCTCTTGAGCCCATTGACTGTTCAAGGTCTGCTCAACGTGACTGCATGGGTTGCTTTGTGTATGGAAACAATGGTGTTTGTGAGTGTCAGAAAGACAACATTCATGGGCCAGGCCTTGAAAAGTGCAGCAGTCCTTGTGTGCAATAAGTTTTCAAAAATCTTTTTCCTCTGCTCTACAGTGATCAATTTAGAAACCATTTTTGCTGCATTTTTCAAATACTCTGCACACTTTCTGAGATATTACTGATAATGTTTATGTGCCGAGCTTTAACAAAGTATTCAGTTGGTGCTTTTCTGAGAAAAATCTTTTCAGTGAAAAGGCCTTGGCACATCTCAACTTGACAGACATCAAGTGGAACAAGCTATGCGTGTCCATTAGCCTGTATTTATATAGCCTGTATATTATAACTGAACGACTTGCACAGGGATTGTGGCGTTGGTAGCAGATAGGTGCAAGCAGTGAAAGCATGTGGTAACACTTTACTTGAAAAGTGTGCATAAGACTAACATGACACCTTCATAATCATGACATGACATATGTTATGTATATGAAGGAAGTTTTATGCATGTTTGTGACAACTGTCATTAAGTGTCATTCGCTCAGTTATGACATTTTTAATGTAAAATATGACATTGTTTGAGATGTCTTTGTTATGACACCTTGACATAAACCAATACATCATAACCTGTCAGTGTCTTTGTCATGACAACTTGACGTTACTAAGACAACACAACCTGTCATAAACATGATGACATAGCAGATTAATTATCAAACTTTTGAAACCACCTAGCTTTATGGGTTAACATTACATTAACCTGTAAGGTGGTTGGTTTTGACATTGGCTGTCATGAAGCCATTATAACTTTTTAATGACAAATTCAATTGCCACTGTAGTTGAGGTCACGAAAAATATTCATGACAGTCATAATGGCCTCATGACAGCCAATGTCAAAGCCAACCACATGACAGTTTTACTAAATTTTGTCAAGTTGTCATGACAAAGACACTGATAGGTGGTTAATGTCAAGGTGTCATAACAAAGACATCTTAAACAATGTCATATTTGCATTCAAAATGTCATTATTGAGCAAAAGTCACTTAATGACAGTTGTCATAAACATGCATAAACCCTACTTCATATTCAAGACATATGTCATGTCATGGTTATGAAGGTGTCATGTCAGTCTTATGCACACCCCTTCAAGTAAAGTGTTACCAAAAATCTCTCAACTCTTTGAAAATTAATAGCTTTATAGCCCATGTATTTGACAACAGACAGGCAAAGAGAAATACCATAGAGCCTAGAGATGAACTGATTATCAGGAGTGAATTAATTGTTCTGATCTGCTCCCTCTAGTGGTATCCAGAGGTGAGGCACCACTGCCCTTCCACTCCAATTATTCTGGTTGGCACCAAGCTCGATTTGAGAGACGAGAAGGAGACCATCGAGAAGCTGAAAGAGAAAAAACTTGCACCAATCACTTACCCACAGGGTCTTGCATTGGCCAAAGAAATAGGTGAGGCGGCACAGTCGGATTTGTGCTTTTATATCACTGGGTGACAGCACACCACTGTTCAAAAGTTGGGGTCAAGAAATGAATACTTTTGTTCAGCAAGGACGCATTAAAGTGGCAGAAATACATTTCTAATGTTACAAAAAAAACACATTTCTAATAAAAGTTGTTTTTTTTTACTTCCTGTTCATCAATAATGATGCTAAAGAAATTCAGCTTTGACCTCACAGGAATAAATTGCATTTTAAAACATTCAAATAGAAAATATTTATTTTAAAATGTAATAATTCTTCACAATACTACTGCTTCCACTGTAGTTTTGATCAAATAAATGCAGCCGTGGTGAAGCTGAAGAGGTGAAGAGGCTTTTTTTTTCTTCAAAAACATTAAGAAATTGGTTACATGTACAATTAACTTACAGGGTAAATATACATTTAAGTACTGAGTAATATCATGTAACATGTACTTTCTATAGGGTCAGGATTAGGTTTGGTTAAGGGTTAGTTGCATGAAATTATACATAATTTACAGTTATTAAAACAGTAGGCATATGCAACATCTAACAATGAAACTGTAAAATAAAAGTGTCACCAAAAAAACTTGCTGACCCCAGACTTTTAATGGGTGATCATTTCAGGTATACACTTCTGACAATAAGGCATTCACAACTTTTTTGCCCTCCAATATTTAAGCTCTGGACTTAAATAGTTTATAGTTGCAACAATTGTACTGGAAATCTGTTCGTAGGGGAAAAAAACAGAGAGAAAAAACAATAAGGCTTAAGATACAAGATAAATGCGAACACTGTTTATTGTCTGGTTTCTTTGTAACATATAATCACCACAGTCTCTAAATGCAAAACAAATTACAAAGCACTCCATATCAGGCTACAGATTTAGAAGCTAAATGCAATTTGTTCTCAGTGTGATTTAAGCTAGCATTTGGGAGAACACATGGGCTAGTCCTCCTACACGTTCAAGATATGACAGATCTGTGCGCACCTAATACACCCAGACATCTGGTGTCCCACTCAGAACGAATCTGAATCAGATATGATTCGGTACTATGCTTGAAATATATAGAGTGATAAAGGTGCTAGTAACAAACCTGATATGTATGCATGTGTTTATGTGTGAACAGATGCAGTAAAATACCTGGAGTGTTCTGCTCTCACTCAGAGAGGTCTAAAAACGGTGTTTGATGAGGCCATCCGTGCTGTGCTCTGCCCACAGCCCACCAAGGTCAAGAAGAAGGGCTGTGTGCTACTCTAAGGATGCATGGTATGTTTTCATGTGTGTTTTGGTTCCGTTGAGACAGAAGAAGTCAGAGAGGGAGAAGGGTATATGCATGCAATTTCAGATGTGACCTCAGTTATAGCGAGCAGCTTTTGTTCTATTACTGGTTTACAGTTGTCCCGACTTACAAACGCACTTCCTGGTGTAAGTTAAAGACAGTAATTCTGCTTCATGTCAAAGGCTGTTCTTTAAAAAAGAGAACATCCACTGACCTTTTCTTCTTTCTGCCTCCAGATTGGTCACTGTAAAAGAGGTACCAGAGAAACCCACTGGTTTTCACCCACAAATCAACAAGGGATGCAATTGCATTACGAAAGCCTTTCTTCTCTTTTAGCTGAATATAACTCCTGAATATACCACATTGATGCCAATGAAATAATATTGTTGTTGACAAAATATTTAATCATATTTTAACTGATGTATTGTGTTGTATTGTGTATGAAGCGTTTTTGTTGGGTACACGGTTGTGTATTGTTTTCTCAAGACAATATAAAACAGGCGATCTTCATTTCTTTAACAAAAAAAAAAAAGCACAAGTACTTGTTACACAAAGCTGAACTCAGAGGGATTTTTTTAGACGTATGAATCACTTCCATATAATACTTTTGTTATTTTGGCAAAAATAAACTGTACAACTCTGTTTCCAATGGCAAAAATAAAATGTACAACTCTGTTTCCAGACAGCTGTCTTTTTTCTCCATTCTACCTCTTGTCTAAAGAGTTCACTCATAACAGGTATATTGAGTACACATCGTTTTCCGTGAATGTATTTGGAATTTTTTGACAAAGCCATTTGATTCAAGTGCTCTAAAGGAGCTCCAATTATAGTGTCTACTGCCGAGAATGTGATACAGATCAGCATTTCCCCATTGAGAGCAGAACTTGAGTTTGCGTAGATTCTCATTGCTTCTTTCATTGCTGGAATTGTAACAACAGAAATGTGAACTTGCAGTATCTGTTGATATGATGGCACTCTCTCACCTTATCAGCCCTTCCTCTTCTAAATTTAGCCATGTGGACTTTGTGACATGACTGTCGTGAGCTCACATCAAAGTGTTGCCATTTACAGCAAGTCTAGATGTGGTACATTTTGTGAAATAGGTTTTGGTGTTGAGCCTATTTTTGCCACGTGCGGCATGCCCTCAGGTGCTCTTCATTTGGGTGCTTCCTTTTGTTATTCCCGGTCAAAAATGACCGGACACCTAAAAATGAAACTTTCCTCCATCCCAGAAAAACCAATGCAATTTATTTTTGTTCTATAATATTGTTTCTTTTTAATTTTGTATTTTGAGAGAATTTGATGTTACTTATTAATATTTATGGTCCATTTTTGTCTTTGAAAATAAAACAAAACATTTTTTCCCTTTTTTTATTCCTTCAATTATTTCAGTATTTCTCATTAATACACTCACCTAAAGGATTATTAGGAACACCATACTAAAACTGTGTTTGACCCCCTTTGACCTTCAGAACTGCCTTAATTCTACATGGCATTGATTCAACAAGGTCGTGGGCGATTTGCAGAGAACTTTTGTTTTTGTCAATTTCCCATTCATTTCCTATGGTCAATCATTATTGACCGAAGAGCAAAACTGTGACAAATTTTTCTACGACCACTTAACCTGTTCAAATCATGCCTTAATTTTTTTTCTTGTGTTCACCTAATGCCATAAAAGTCACTAAGTTTCATGACATTCAGATAAAGCTGTGATTTAAAAAAATTCAAAACAGATTTTTTTTTTATCACAATGTATTATTTGTATGTGTGTGTGTCTGTTTTGCACTTTTGATGTTTTAGAGTGTCATCCCTTCATTTTTGAGCACTTTATTTAGTTAGAAAAGAGCACCTGAAGGTTAAATTCAACACAAAATAAGGAGGAAATCGACAGTAAAGCTATTTAACAACATATTTTAACAATATTTTGAAAGTTAGGCTCTTATGGGAAAAAAGAATGGAAAAGAGTGAAATATACATAACAGTTTTCATTATGGAGGCACTCGGATGTAAACAACAGCATGGATTGCACTGTTTATTTACTACATTTTTACACTAAAAACCCATGCAAAAAACACGTGGTAGGTGCAAAATCATATATACGTAAAATGACTTAGTAAGCAGGAGAGAGCGCACAATTTTGATAAACTAAATTAATACGTGGTAAGGGTCCGAACAAGCTGTGCTTCTCTAGCCGGTACTGCAATTCTTCCTTCTATTTATTATCCCAACATAGGCTACGTTCAGATTATCAGTCCAAAAAAGCACATGAAATCCGTTTTAAGCTAGCCTGGGAAAACCCAGACAACTTCTGGCAAATTTAGATTTGCTCTGAAAGTTAGTCTGGCAAAGAGCTCATTCAAGCCCATTTCCAATCCGTCGAAATCGAGGCACGAATCAGAAACGTTTGGGTGGGCTTTACACGATGACGACAGCGCTGGGATTTTGAAGCAGATTTTGTAGCCTACATTACAATGAATGTCGCCATCGAACATCACTCCTTTGAATCAGCTATCGCATCTGTTTTAAAAGATTTGAACGTTTCTTTTTTGTTAAAAACTGAGCAAAGAACAACACTCAGAGATGTTTCTCCTCCGCTCTGCATACGTCATCTCCTTCATCGCTCTGATTGGTTTTAGGTTTATCCGCGACGTCCGTTGGTGACGCCCCTCTGGAAATGATTTGTCTATGACACTTGTAGTTTAAAATGCCATATGTAGTTTAAAATACCGTTTTGGCGCTTGTAATTGTTACACAACAGATCCCTAGCACACGTGAACTGATCATCTCTACTAGCTAATAGTAAAAAAAAACAAGAAAACTGTTGAAAGATAATGCTACAACTTAACAAAATGTATTCCTCTATTGACCAATCATTTTTTTAATCAGCGTGCAGAGGTCAATAGCATAGCTGGAGAACAAATATTTCAGATTTACCTCATAATAAAGGTCACGTAGTTGGCAAGAAAAAAAGAGCTATAGAGCGCGTTTTTTCCCTGCAGCGGGTGGTTGTGGTGGTGGTAAGGGTCTCTTGCCAAGGGCTTCAGCCATTCTTCCGCTCTCTTCCCAGAACTGAAATGTAGTAGTGGGCTGTACTTTCCACACTGCTCAGGTTCAGGTTCAAGTATGCCCACAAGCCATGCGAGTTATTCATGTTTTGCACTTTGGCAGTGTTATATATCTGCTTTCTTGTGCACTCAGATATCTCTCATGCACGATACCGAATTAAATCAGTCACACGCTTGATAACTTCTCCAACAGCGTCTTTACTTCTTTACTGTTTAACGTGAACTCCCGTCACTACATCCGGTCCCCGCATACATATAGTACACTCACATCTTAAAGATACAGACCATCATTCTAATACATGACATCCCCCCCAAAGTCGGATAGAGACCTTTAACACTCGACTGTTGTCTCAGTATTGCAGAACAAACAACATATTCATCAACTGATGATTTTCACATTCTTCAACTTGTTTTAAACTTACTTATAATATCACCCATGAACAAGTCAACAACATTGTCTGCATTTAATCTGCATTCAAGAATTCAGCCAACAACAAAATCAGCAAATTTTTGAGGTAATTTTCTTTCTCTTTGGGGCTTGACATTTGTAATGTCCTGGTGACACTCAACCATGGGCACAAGTCTCTCCGATTCCTCTGACAATGTCTTTTGATCCGAATCTGTGGAACAATCAGCTTTCCCTTTGTCGCTCTCTACATACTTCTTCACAAATGTTGTGTTGCGACTGTACTGGGCTCCAGAGGGTGACTCCACAGTTATTTTGTTCCCAGCTTTGCGGACCACTGTGTGAGGTGTTGCGTTAAAAGGTGTGGTAAACTTGTCCGTTTTGTCCTGCCTGATCAGAACCCGATCTCCAACACCTACATTTGAGAAGTCTGCTTTGCGATGTTCATCTGCATACAGTTTATATTTTCCTTTTTTCTCAGCATCATGATCGTGAACTTCGAGATCCTTGTCTACTGATATGAGTTCAGGTAACTTGCCTCTCATTTTTCTTTTAAACAGAAGTTCAGCGGGGCTTTTGCCTGTGGTGTTATGTACAATTCCTCTGTACACTGTAACATACTTCCTGAGTTCCTTTTGCCAGTCAAGTCCTTCCGACTGTGCAATGCGGATTCGTTTCATGATGGAGGCATTCTGGCGCTCGACTTCCCCATTTGCTTGAGCCCATTTAGGCGTTGTTTTCAGGTGTCTGATCCCATTTTCTTCACAGAAACTCTTGAATTCATCCGATTTGAATTGAGGTCCGTTATCGGATTTTAGTGTGGCAGGAAGCCCATGTCGGCTGAATATATCCTCAAGGCTGTCAATCACTTTTGTTGCTGTGGTTGAGGTCAGTACATCATACTCATAATACCTACTGTAGTAGTCCACCACAACTAGGATTGAGTGTTTTGACGGCAGAGGACCCAATAAATCTACAGCTAGATCTTGCCATGGTCCATCTGGTAATGGTAAGGGTCGCAATGGTTCTGGCGCATCAGGACGAGAGACAATTTGACAGCCATGGCATGATTTGCAATATCTCTCGGCAGCTCTGTCCATGCCAGGCCACCATACTTTGCTCCTCAGGTGTTGTTTGGTCCCAACAATACCTATGTGCCCCTCGTGGGCAAGTGCTATTGCTCGTGCTTGTAGTGTTTTCGGAAGAACAATGCGTGTTCCACGTAGTATTAGAAAACCTACCACACATAGCTCCCTAGCAACAGCTGCATACGTCATACACTTTTCAAAGTGTCCACTTTCAATAGCTTTTCTCACCTCTATTAGTTCGGGATCTTTTTCTGATGCCTCTTCCACTTCCCTTGTGGTTAGGGCTCTCGGGGTGGCATTAATAGCTACAAATCTCACATACTCATCCGAATCATGTAAGTGCTTCTCTCTCATTGCTGTGCTTCCTATAAGTCTTGACAGGGAGTCGGCAATGTTGTTTTTCCCAGCAACATAGACGACCTTAAAGTCGTAAGGTTGAAGACGCAAAACCCACCGCTCAATGCGGGCACAGGGCTTAGAGCGTGGACTGTAGATTGTCTCTAATGGCTTATGGTCTGTGACCAGATCAAATTGTCTTCCATAGACATATGGGTGCAGCTTCTCACACGCCCATACAAGGGCAAGGGCCTCCTTCTCGGTCTGGGAGTACCGTCTCTCACAGTCTGATAGACTTCTACTGATATAACACACTGGCACCATTTGTCCTTTTTGACATTGTGTCAACACAGCCCCCAACCCTACAGGGCTTGCATCAGCTATAACTTGGGTTGGTGCATCTTTGTCAAAGTATGCTAAAGTCCCTGATTTGGCAAGTTCTTCTTTCAGAGCCTTAAATGCATTTTTCTGTTCAGGACCAAAGACGAATCTGGAGTCTTTTCTGGTAAGACGTCTCAAGGGCTCTGCCAAGGTTGCAAATTGTGGAATAAACCTGCTGCTGTAATTGACAAGTCCAAGAAAACTCCGAACCTCTGAGGCATTCTGTGGCTCTCGAGCCTCCACCACAGCCCTGACTCTCTCATCAGTGGGCCCGATACCTTTTTGTGTGAGTAGAATCCCCATAAAATGCAAGCGATCCATACTGAACTGACATTTTGCAGGATTCAGAGTTAACCCACATTCTCTCAGACGTTTCATGACGGCATGAAGACGGTGATTGTGTGT